CCCCCTATGCCATTTTCTCTTGTCTATTCCTTCTTTACTCTCTGATGACGATTCAAAAAATGAACATTGGATTGTCCCTTCGATACAGGAACACGGCACCTACCAACAGGTCATTAACCTGATAGACCTTTGGCACTTCAGAACATATCGTCTTTCGAGTGCCGAGGATCCGTTAGCGGGTAGCTGTGGTGCCTGCGCCTGGGCGCGAAAATTATATTGAAAACGTTTATGTTGCAGGCTTGATTAATATATGGGAAAAGAAACCAGAAAAACAGGAGGCAATAAGGCAATATGGTAAGCGTATATTCATCTTTGAACAATCGCAAAACGTATGTTTCAGACTTTAACGATCCTCGAACGTTCAAAAACTAATAGAAACCCTATCTCGAAAATCGACACAAAGTACGATGAAGGCGCATGTTGTGTACTGTGAATGCTCAGATAGAAGCCCACACTCTCTGAACTCAAATATCTCGGTTCCTGTGAGAGACATAAAAAACTATCACCTGATAAAATGTTGGAGATGTTATGATAAATATTTATTTGTTTAAACAAATGTTGGTATCTTTTGAACGAATCGAGATAATTGAGTTCAAAGTGAACGTATAGGGTGGGCTTCTTTTTAAGATTTTATAGGAATCTCCTTGGTCGCACCACGATATTTATGATCATTATATCTGAATATAATTTTTTCGGTGGTCCTCCGGTTGAACCCATCAATCTCTGCTTCAGCTTTGAACACATCATGAACACTGACCAGTATATCTGACGCGGAACTATGAAATTTCAAAATTCTTGACTCTAACATGAAATCATGTTTTTTAAAATCTAAATTTTGTTATGGTTCTTGACTGTTATTGCCTTGATAGAACAACAAAAAACTACAAACACATTCAAAACTTTCATTGTTTTTCCAGGACAATATTTAATTTCAGATGGAATTCAAATCTTATTCAATATTCAATTTTTCTTTCCCCATGTTTTTGTAAAATCATTTATCCAGGATAGCGATTTTTCAAATGTTTGTTTACGATTATAATTTTTTTTTCATACTCCTGAAGTGTTCTCCTAGACTCCTATATTTTCCCCTGATTTTTTTCCAGATCCCTGAAATGTATTTTTCCAGATTCCCAATTTTCCTCCTTCTTACCATGGTAAATGTTAATAGCATAGTTACAAACTACCGGGCGGGCCCGCTGTTTGTACAGAACACGGTGAATAATTCACGAATAGCGCACAACTGATGATTGCTAACGCGTTTCTCGTGCATCGATAAAAAAGCAAAATTCAAAAAGTTCAAAAGAAATTAATTTGTTTGTGAACCGCCATTGTTAGGGATTTGAGAGTCCAGACATCACTTTTTCTCTCAATTCTCCTACTTCTAGGTCATTCCACACCAATCCATGCCAAAAGTTTCCCGCCATGAATAACACGTCGAATAAACAAGCAAAGAATCCTGCAGAAGCTGATTTTTTTTTGAATTTTTAAAGAAACAGTTCAAATGTTTTCTAAAATTTTTCTTGAAATACTTCAGAAAGTTTTTAACAAAACAATCAATTTTTGACTATTAAAAATTGGTTCCCTTCCAATTGAGAAAAATTCTGAATTTCTATTGAAATTGTTTTCATGTTATACGGGCCGGGCCAGGCCGAGAAAATTCATCTTTCGGCCCGACCAGTTGCAACTATAAATTATATCAGATTTCTAAATTCTAAAAAAGTTAGAAAAACCAGACCACCACCGAAAAATAGTGACACACATAAAAAAAAATAATTTCAAAGTTGACGTATATTTTACGTAATTAATTTTAATCAACGAGTTGCAAGGCGTGATTTTCTCGCACGACGTTTAAAAGTTTCATCTTCAACCAAATAATTCAGTAGCGATTTTTTTAATCTCACGGTTACTGGGGCGCGATTTCTGACCCGCTGTCTTCGACCCCAGTGGTGACATGGTTACCTAATAGAGTTTACACAGTATTTCTCTTTTTCAGTAATGTTAACTTTAACATGGGACCTTTCAAAGAATCAAATAAAAAAAACAAATTGGCAAGACAACGTACTTAATGCACCGTTGTCTCACCGCAAAAAAAAAACAAATTTATTCACGAGGTACGGTTAATCTGCTTTCCAGTGACATACATTGAAAAACATGTGGAAAGTCTGAAAATCTGATTTTTATTAGGCTTGGTGAAATTGAAAATTGCGTCCTTGGCCAACTATGAAATTTGTTTTGGTCGCCAGACTATAAAATACTTTAAGCCCGTTTTCGAAATTGGTACTTTTACATGAAGATTTGGAAAAGTTGTGGATAAAAAATTTTTGTAGGTACGGTCTAGTCGTAGGAGGCAGAAAATCAACTAAAATAAATCATTTTTTGACATTGACATAGGAAATTCGAATAAAATTAGAAATTTAGACATTCAAAAGTTTATTAATTTCAGAAGTACGTTTACATTTGCCAACTGATAAATTATTTGCATCACCAACATTTTATCAGTTGAAAATGTTTTGATATCTATTACAGGAATCGAGATAAATGAGCTCAAACTTGACGGTTCGGATGGGCTTCTATAAAGAAAATAAGAAATTTTTGAATACTATATCATACTTTATATGTTTTCCTATTTTCTGAACAACCAGCTTACTTGGGAAACACCAATCAACTTTCCGATTCATCTTTTTACAAGGGAACTTTTTAAGTGAAGGTAGGAGTTAACAGAAACCAAAAGCATAGATCGAGAGAGCATGGTCGAAAACCTATAAAACCGTTTTCAAAGTCTGCTTACGAGACCTTTGAAGTGCTGAAATTTCAGTTTCAGTACCAAAAATCCCATTTTCAGTGTAAAATCGGCAATTTTCAAATTTGATTTTCTCCACTCCTAGGAGGTTTTAGGAGTTTAAACTTTTTGTGGTATACTTGAAATTATGTGGAGTTTCATAAATCAAACATTTTCTGAGAAAAAAACGTATTTTCGGAAAAGTTTTGGGAAGTTTAAAAATTTGCCTAGATTTTCGGTGGGCCCAAGCTTTCGAGTTTGAAAATTTTTTGAAGAAATTTTTTTATGTTCGAATTATGAAATTCCACATAATTTCAAGTATACCACAAAAAGTTTAAACTCCTAAAACCTCCTAGGAGTGGAGAAAATCAAATTTGAAAATTGCCGATTTTACACTGAAAATGGGATTTTTGGTACTGAAACTGAAATTTCAGCACTTCAAAGGTCTCGGCAGACTTTGAAAACGGTTTTATAGGTTTTCGACCATGCTCTTTCAATTTACGTATGTGATTTCTGCTAACTCCTTGTTAAGTTAATTATCATCAATGCATGTTAAATACAAAAATAACAAAATAGAACTGTTCGCATAATAAATAATTTACTTCAGAACTGGTATGAAACGAGTTGCAATCCATTCGAATGAAACAATTTGTATTTCCCAAGGTTGAATTTTTATAATTTCTTCCTTCTTCTTCTCAAAAACATTCCACCTCCTCCGATCTCCCGCAAAGTTCACACAATATGACCTCCTCCTTGTTGCCTCCGAACTGCCAGATGCTTTAGTTTTGCGTTCCCTCCTCTCCTCTTTTTTTCATGTTCAATTGTGCCAAAACGAAAAATCTTGGAATCTTGCCAGTTTGTCACCATAAAACACATTCCATTATGTGACGTCTTCGGCTTCTCGGCGCCTTTGTTAAAGAAATTAGTAAGGTCCATTCGAAACAGAGGGACAGAGAGACATCTGGTCTTCAATCCATTCCTTTGTTTCGTACATTCTTCTCATTCGGCTTATTAGTTTCAATGAGAGTGCCCTCCCATTCGTCTTGGTGCCCTTCTTCTTCTCCGTTCCTTTCCTTCTACTTCTTATTCCAATTTCTTCGTTTCCTATGTTCACTTGTCACTCATCTCCCGCACAAGATATTCCACTTTCCCTTCTACATCATGGATTACACTTCTATTCCGTCCCAATACGTCCAGTGGTGGTCCAGTGAAGAGGGGTTTTCAATTTAATTTGCCGTTTCCACGTGTCACTCAACTTGGCTATTTATCTCCCCAGCTAAAGTGTTCTCTTGGCTCTTTTTCGCGACTGATCATTCACGTTTTCCGGAGTGACGACGGTGTGGTCACTCCAGAAGTTTATAGCTTTGCAGTCCACTTTTAGAGTAGTCGATTGCATCAAAAATCTCTCTAACACTTTTCTATTTTTGTTCATTAGTGACGGTGTAACTACCGTAAAACCTGTAATAAAACGCCACCCCTAGCTTTTAACTTTGAGCCATTTTGTCTCGGTTCCTGTCAGAGATGCAGAAAAGTTGTCAACTGATAAAGTGTTTCTCATAATATTAGAAGTGTTTTGTCAGTTGGTATATTTTTGATATCTTGTATAAGAACTTAGATAATTGAGCTCAAACTTGACAGTGTGTGGGGCTCTTCTATTACAGGTTTTAACTTTTTTTCACACCTTTAAAATTATTTTCGAGCTGACCTCTACTAAATCTCATGGCAGTGGTTAATTACTTAGTAAGACTACTGTAACTTTTAAAAATATAAGATTAAATGAGCAATTGGGATGCCGATACAAAATAATATTTTTATCTCTCACTATAACTATAGTTATCATTTTGCATGTCATGAATTTTTTTGTTTTTAGATTAACTTAATGTTTAAAACTCCAGATATCGCTGATGTCAGAGGCATTTAGAAGATGTCGGATGATGTTGAAAATTGAAAATTTTGAATCAAAACCTATTCCTTGATTTGGAAAGTTTCAACGATCTTATTATTTTTCAAATTCATCAGAACATGAAACCTTGAACTTTTAATACACATTTATCCCTCAGATATTCTGGAATCTTCTACAAGATCTTTGGATATCCATTTCAGGGGAAAGTAATAACATCTAGATATAGATGAATGTGTACTCCGGATTGCTTAATAATTCATACAGAATATTCTAGGGTGTCTTATTCCGTAATACTGACAAATAAACAAGATTTCTGTGAAGATCAGGTTCTGAAAATCGAATATAATAATTTCGAAATTCAGAAACCTTACCATTAGAACTTCCATAATTCCTTAATAAGTGATTATATCTGTTTAATTTTTATGAAATGAGTGAACTGAAATACAAAGAATTCCTGGGATTTTCAATCCCAAGTGTGTTTTGTTTGGTATTCTTTAAACTCTGATACGATGATCTTTCAACCTTTTTTGTGCTCTCAACCCTCATACCACCCAAACAAGTTCACTTATCAGTTCTACTTTAAGTGGATTGAGCGATTTTTGAGGTGTATTTAGGTAAGTAGCAAAAAAGACAAGGTCTGCAAACAACTCTCACGTATCTCACTTGAGCCCGTGCGGGATGCTCCATCGGCCCGTCTCGTTGTCTGGTGTCTCTTTCCTCTGTTACTATCTGTCTGCCTATCTCTACAATTATTATCGGCAGGATGGATGCCTATGACGTAGCACCTTTTGCCCCTTCGCTCTCACCACACTAATTTCTCTGATTCTCTTCGATTTGCTGTGCTCTTTTGATCTCTCTCACCCCACAAAGTCGCCTCTTTTTCGTTCGTTTATTACCTTTTGGTGTGTGCCTGTATTCATATTTACCACCACCCTTTGTTCCACCATCCATTCGTGTTCACCAATCCAAAGTTCGGACCAACTGAGGACGTTTTCTATAGCTGGTTTATTGACACATTAGCTCAGTATTATTGATTTCATTGCTGATCTCTATCTATTAGAAGAATATGATCTGTTCGTTTTACTTCTTCCCGTAGTTTGAACAGTCATATGGTTGAGAAAGAATCCGAGATCTTCGAGTGGTGAAACAATGATGAGACAGATGGTTTTTTTGTGCAATAAGTGGACATTTGGTGTCTCGACTTTTGAATGATTCGATTAGGTCTCAATATTTTTTCTATTCTGAAAGAGTGAAATCATAAATCTCTAGTTAATATAATTCCAGATAAAATTATAAATTAGTTGGTTTGAGAGACAAAAAAGGAAATTTCTGACGTGAGTTTCGACCAAACGTCATACTCAGATAATTAGATAAGGTCACAGTAAAAACAAAACATGTTGCGAAATCTTCAGCTTATTTTCTCGAGTTGTTCTTTCATTTCGAAAAATGTTATTTTTTACAATTTTTCGGAGTTTTTTTTAATGTTCAAAATCAATGAAACGCATCGAAAAAATTGAAAAAAAAATGGCCAGAAAACATTTACGAATATACATGCTCCTTTAAGGATTTTCTATCGGACCTAAGCTCCGCCCACTCACGAATTTTCGTTCGCAACATTGAAATTGGACCAGAGTAATACAGAAATTTAAAAAAAAATTGAATTATTAATATGGAATGACCAGATGCTTATGATACCGAAAGTGGACCATCCAAAACAAAAAGCCCATTGAATTTGAATTTTTTCTACCAATACTGAGAAAGAAGGTTTTTCCCAACAAAAAAATTCTAACGACATCCGATCAAATGTTCTTCCCTCAAAAAACAAGAAGTTTGGCTCATCGAATGTACATAAATGAAATAAAAACAAAGAGAGCTTCTTGTTCTTCTTCTTATTTTCTTACCCAAAATTGCGTGTCGTCAGTCCATCTTGGCTTCCTCTTTTCTTTCTCCTCGTATAAATTCGGTGGCCAAGTGTCACCACTACCACCACCACCACCAGAACCAGGGGTCTCTTTCTCTTGTTTATTTCTCTAATTCTCTCTCGTGTTCCCACTTCTATTCCACCACTTTCCACCACAATCTCTCGCCCGGATCCCCTCTCCCGCCAACAACCATTCCACCCCACAACACCCCATTTCTTTCCATCTGTCCTTTTTCTCTCCTTTCTGCTATTCTTCTTCACTTACAATTCTTTCTATCTCTTTTGTGTGAGAAAAACAGGAATTCCCAACGGGGAGCTCCCATAGAAAGACCCGCCATTCCCTGGACATTCAAAATATGCTCAAAAATTTCCGGAGTGGAAACTTTTTTGCCTTTTTTCCATTACTTCTTTCTATTACACACAAGAGTTTTCACTTTTTGTTAGCCCCAACAATTCTTTGTACAATTCTACCAAAGTCACTTACATGACACATTCTAATAGATTACCATCCAAAGCGTGTGTAAAGTTTACAGTACCCCCAAAATTTCAAATAGAACGAACAAAAATTGGTGGAATAGTTTAGAAGTGATTCATAAGTGGTCAAAATCTTTTTTTCACATCTCTCAAATTTCTCTTTATTTTCTCTTCTGATGTGTGAAATGACGTGACGGTGTTCACACTTTTCAATACCCTTTGATTTACGACTTCTAACTTATGCCGCATAACTTTTTTTTTATTGAGCTGTTAAAAATATTTTAACTTTTAGCAAAATGGCAGAGTCTCCACCTCGGGTGGACTCGTCAGCTCCAGACGTCGGGGATCCGACGTCAATGATGGAGAGACTTCGTTTAGGGGATGACGGAGGAAAGGATGATGGTATGTGTTGAAAGTTATGAAATTGAAAAAAAAAATTAAAAAATTAAGAATTTGACAATAAGTCAGTTTCTTCTGCTCAATACTCTCAAGCATCAGAGGCAACGACAGCTGTCAAACAACAACCGTTTTTGCATACGATGACCAAAGTGAGTCTTTTAAAATTTGCATTTAAATTGGAGAAAAAAGAAGCTTTGGAACGAGAAAGAATGAACCTGGTTTTCACACTTGTGAACCGCCGTAGTTTCTTTTAAAACCAAAATCTTTGGACCAACTAAATCAGATATCATATAACTCGATGAGCACTACATAATGCTACTGTTTGAAAAATAATTGCTTGTCTATGAGCAAAGTTACAGACGAAACAAAAAACTGACAGATTCCGACCCGGGCCAGCCACTTTAGGGCTTATAACATTGATCATTGACATTGACAAAGTACAGTTTCTCAAATAATACCATTTTGTAGTTAAGCTGTATAGTGGCTGATGTAGTTGATCCAAAAATATTTTGTTCTTGAAGAAAATATGATAGGGCTATACTTTAAAATTTCAGGTATACTGTCACATTGACGACGAAACAGATCCCTACATGCTCGAAGTGCACGTACCACCGGATCTTATCACTTTGGGAGATTTGAAACGAGTATTAATGAGAACAAACTTTAAATACTACAGAAAAGCATTGGATCCGGACTCTGGATAGTGAGTTTTCGACTTGAAACAACAAAGAATCTAAAAAAAATTCAGTGAAGTGAAAGCTGAAATTCGAGATGATTCTCAACGACTAACGCCTTCTTCGAATAATCTGTTTGAACTATTTTTATTAACAATCGAAGGATCAACTCATTCGGATGGAAGCAGTGGGAAAATGAGAAAATATCCATCAGTACCAGGACCAGCACCATCCAATAGAAGTGGACCACCAATGAATTATCAACATGCTGCTTATCAATTTGATAATTCTAGTGAGTTTTTTAAATTTAAAAAAAGCTGTGTGTCTATCAAAAAAAAACTTAACCATGAAGCATTTGATTTGAAGAGCTCCAACTAAAGATTTTTTGAACGAAATTTTTGAAACAGCTGAATCCCAATACCGTATTTGCTTTAATAGAAGCCTGCCCTACATGGACACTTTGATCAATTATCTCGTTTCTTATGAGAGATATCAAAAATTTGTCAACTGATAAAATATTGGTAACATTATGATAAATAATTTATCAGTTGACCGCATTTTGATATCTCTCATAAGAACCGAGATAATTGAGCTCAAATTGCACGTATTGGGTGGGCTTCTATCAGAGCAAATTGTACTTCTTTTTTTTTACCATGAGAGACTTCAGCTTGGTTATCACCGAAGTCTAGAAAATGGAAAACCACATTTTCATAAATTTCACAAACTGACAGAAATCAAATTTTACAAAAAATAGCGATAAACAGAGAACGCAAGAGCTTCATAGCACCAAAAAAAGCGCTAGGGGAGGTTATCTAGGAATAGGAAAATTTTACGAAAAAATTTTTTTCAAAAATACCGACAATGTTAAAAAAACAAGAAATAACTGAGAAACCTGGAAAAATTACTGAAAAACCCATGATTATTTCTGTATCACGAGATTTTATTTTGATTGAATTCAAAAATTACCGAGGTCTAGAAATGGAAAAAAGTCCCACTTTTGATTTATGCCCACAACAAACAAAATTCTGAAAATAACCAGATTTTTGAAAAATCTGAAACTTAACCTTCAGAATTTCGAGTCTCCTATAAGATAGAAATGAATACGAGCATTGCGGTAAAGAAATAAAAAATTCAATTGAATTTCCAACAACAAAAAGTTGATCATCATCTTCTTCCAACCACCCATTCAGTCATAAACCTCCAGATGTCTGTTTCATTTTCCTTTTTTTTTTAATTTCTCCATGTCATTTTGTTTCGGCTCTTCTGATGATCAGTTTCAATTTATCTTACCAAAAAATGCTTTTTAAAATCCTTAAAATACTATTTTTGATCACCCAAGCCAAAAATTTTGCAGTGATGAGCACAGATTCTGAGTCAATGATATCTGCTGCCATACCTGGATATCTCAAAAGTGCTGCCTATAATCGACGGTTTCCGCAGCATTATCTAGGTCAGTTTTAATGATTTTTGATCGAAATCTCCCTGAGATCTCCGTGAACAGATTACTGTAGGTACCCCTGGAAATTCAATGAAATTAAAGTTTGTTGAATGTCCAGAGGACTCATGTACTCCGAAACCTAAAACACCACTCGTAAAAACTTGATCACATTATCTAATCACATTGTCACTTCCCTTCGTTTTCATGTTTTATGTTTGTGTTAATGAGAGTCGATCGCCCTGATCACCCCGAAATAGTATGAAAAATGGAGAGAACGCAGAGAAATGGACCAATTGTTTCAAATCTCTCTTTATCTGATGGGGGCTCATCTTGTGTTGGCTGGCTGCCAGTCAACCCAACACACGTTTCGAAATTCGGCCCCCTCTTTCGTTCAATGTTTGTACATACATTTCATTTCAATTCATACACATTGTATCATTCATTCTAATTCATGATTGAATTAGGAAAACGTTTCATGATTAGAATTCGAAGCACCCTGGTTGATCGTATTAATATGTTGCTAGTATGCTTTGTATTAAATCAGGAATCCTTTATCATCATTCAAACCTTCTCTTATCGTCAGATTTTAGCTGTAATAGATTTGCCGATTCGTTTTAAAATACCGTGAAACCTGTAGTAGAAGGGCCCTCACACTGTCAAGTTTAAGCTAACTTTTTTGATTCCTTTGCAAGATATCAAAAATGTGTCTCCTGATAAAATGTTTGCGATATTATGAAAAACCATTTATCAGTTAACTCTTTTCAATATCTTTGACAGGTAAACCGGCTCAAAGGGAAAAAATAGGAGCCTTTCTATTACAGGTTTTTTGGTATAAACTTTACGTTGGATCAATTTTGGATCAGGTCGTTTGGATTGATATATTTCAAAAACCTACAGGATTGAAACCTAGTCTAGAGCAACAGAGTGTATCTGCATGCTCTATTTCTGAAGATTTTAATTAAAATTTTATGTACCTTAAAGTCTCTAATAGTTTTGAACGCTTTCCGACAACTTTAAGCGAAATTTCCTCGGTTCTTGCGAAAGATTTTGAAAATGTTTTCAATATTTCGTTAGTTGGTCATTTATATATCTGTTTTGAAAACCGGGAAAAACTGACTAAAGTGACGGTCAAGGTTCAACTCTATTTGAGATTTTACAGTATAAACGTTTTTTACACACCGGAAAGTTACTCAAAATCTGTCGTATTCTTACTATAAATGGGGTCGAACATGCCTGTTCCTGCCTGAGGAAATCGGTGTTCTTTGACACAGTTCATTCTCGAATTGTGATCTTTTGGTGCTTCTTCAACTCGCCTTTCTTCTCCCATCTCGTCTCCTTTGTTGGGGTCATTGAGCTTCCCCGTTATCTTTGCTCCTCCTGGTGAGAAACCGTTCTCTCATTCTCATCCGTCTCTTTATCTCTGCTCAAACTTTTCCATGTCAGTGGGAAAAAAACCGAAAAGACCGATGAGTTTATCACAGTGTTTATCAAGATGCTTTCACTCTATTCGCCGTCTCTTTATCCACTTGAACACTCTTCTTCTCGAGACCTCATACCACTTCACCCCACTTTTAGTTAGTTTTTTTCGCCCCGTGCTCTCTCGTCAAATTGTGTATGTGTTTCTACTTGTCACTATTATCGTTTTTGTGTCAGAATGGTCTTTCCTGGTACATCTATTGTTACTCTTCTTCTCATTATCACTTTCGTTCGTTTTCTCTCGGAAATAGAATAGGACTTTCTGGGATCTTTGGTTTTGTTTACTTTAGGAGATGATTCCCCCTATCCTAGTCACTTGTGATTCTATCATGATACCATTCGGAAAAACGAAGAAAAAGAGACAGTTTTGAAATTGATCTGTAGCTTGGATCCGCTTTTCCATCCCCGATCAGTATTTGTCTATCTCATGTGTAGGTGGATTTTGATTAGATTTCGTCATTAACAGAGAGAGCTCATGTATCAATCTAGATCAATTTTGCAACATTCGTTCATTTTTTTTGAACTATTTCTATTCTTTTTTTGTTGATAAACAAGTCGTTAATTTCTATAGAGAAACCTGAAGTAATAGTATTGATTTGACCATCACCCAATTTGTTTTGTTTTTTATATTTTCAGTGATGTTTGAGCCTTAAATTGTGAGATGTTTATATAAATAACGGGACCACTTGAACTTCTTCTATGAAAAATTTGAAAACTAACAAATAACTTGGAATAGAGTTTTCATAATCATCTAAAACCCTTTTGAGTCCCTAGTAGTTTCAAAGTTTTGGATAATTCACAACGATGCAGAATAGAGTCTTCATGAGAAAAAAGTTTGCTAAGTGGGAAACTCTCTTTGAAGTACCCGCCACGTCACTTCAAGACCTGTGGGGATAAAACAAGGTTTCGGATTTTTGAGCTTTTCGATATTAGGTCATCCTTAACATCTTTTTATCTGTTTTCCCAGTTTTCCATGGCTACTGAACACCAACAAATTAGATTCATTTCCTTCAAGACTAGACCAACAACATAGCATACCGTGAAACCTGTAATAAAAGGACCCCTTAACTTTGAACCAATTTATCTCGGTTCCTGTCAATGATAATCCAATTGATAAGTTGTTCATCATAACACCACAAACATTTTATCAATTGACATATTTTTATATCATTTACAGAAATCGAGATACATTGGCTTTAGCGTTCTTCTAAGTTTAAAGCACACAGCTGATCACTAATAAGATTTTGGGTATATTTCAGAATTTTCGAACTTTCGAGAAACAATTTAGTTCAAAAACCATTTTTATAACTCTTCTAGGAGCCGAGATACAGGCTAAGAAGGCTAGAGATGCAGACAACGAGACATTCTGACTGTCTGCGTCTCTTCTAAAAGGTATGTCTCGGATTTTAGTTGAGCTAGATTTCACGGTTTATTTTTCCTACTCCCGCATTTTCCTCGTACCTCCCAGTCTCATCAAAATCAAGTATAACGAAATCGACATGCGTCAAGTTCGATTAAAGTTTAACGACTGTGTTGATTCAGGTCTATTTCAAATTTTTGACTTTTTGTTGATCCGATTCTAAAAGCATTTTGTGTATCCTGACCAGGTCTTGTCGTGTTCTTCAGAAAGTAAAACTGAAATATTTTAATTCCAATACTTTCCTTTTTTCCAAACTCTATGGAACAGCATTGCATAAAAATAGAAAACTGATCTCTTCGATCCCTTGAAGTTCTCCACCACATGATATAAGTATATGTTTCTGATCCAAGTACATCATGAGCTCTCGTCTCGATCCGGAAAATTTATGACCCCCCATCGAGTTGGTGTTTCTCATTGAACCACCATCACTCTTCTTTCTTTTTCTCTCAATTCTTCTTATTACTCTACCTCTCACTCTTCCGTCTCTAGAACTTTCTATTTTTGTGTACAATACTATTCGTTTTCTAGAGAACGACACACGAGTCACTCAGAGCTCTCTAGTGAGCAATGAGTATCAAGTTAGGAGTTGCTCGAGAACGAGCCATTCCGGCTAGTTCGAATACACCATCCACATCATCAATGACGACTTCATCCGATGTCCTCCGTTCACTTTTATTTACTGCAAAAGAACGAAAAGTGCTCTCAACATACACAGCTCCACCTTCACATCGAAATCATTCCCCGGGAGTTGTTTCCCAATTAATCAACAAAATCGAACAGAAGGCGTCACCACCCACGACGTCTTCTAGAACGAAGAAAAAGAAGAAGGCTCCTCCACTTGCTCAAATTGATGATTTAGACTTAATCGAAGATGAAAAGACTGTTGTGGAAGTTGCCAAAAGTCCCAGAAGAAAAAAGTATACAGGAAATCCTCTGGGTAACCTGAAAATCCTAAATGGCTTTTTACCATCCAGCAAAACCACCGATGATAAAGAAAATGACTCCGTTCCAAGTACTGGAAAGAAACTCAAAAAGAGCAAGAGCAAGAGTAGAGTTGAGCCAGAAACCGATCCACCATTCCGATTAAAACGAACTCTGACGGATTTAACTAACAACCATACACCTTCTGGATCCACGTGGCGCCAAATGGTCTCAAATGCTCTAGGAGGTCCACTCAAAAAACGTCTGAGTGAAGGTGCTCTGTTCTTCCCCGGAACCAGCAAAGCAGCAGATGATTGTGTCGACGAAGAGGGGGGTAATACGAAGACGAAAACGAAGAGCCCATTTTTACAACGACGGAAACAAAACGAAAAAAGTGCAGGAGGCGCCAACAGAAAAGAGTCCGGTGGTTCCGCCTCCTCGTCGTTTTTTGGAGCTCTTATCAGATTATCTCACTCGGCTGCAAGTTTAACCTCGTTAACTTCACTTGGTGGTTCAAGATCGAATTCTGCATCACCGTCAAGTTCTCGATCCAACACAAAAGAATTCAAAGAGGAACTGAAACCACCTCAACCACCACCACCAGATCTTATTTCTCCAGCTGCTGCCCTTTCAAAACCTATATTTTCACTTGCTCCTCCATCCTCTCCTGTTTCTTTGACGCCTCCATCCAGGGAGCTTCGGAAATCCAAAACGTGTCAAATCACCACCGATCGTCCTCCAATTATTCCTAGTATTACCATTTCTGAAAGTCGAAGTCTGAATCGAATTGATCGTTGTCGTCCGGTTACTGTCGATGGAAGCAATCTTACTCCGGATCGTCGTCCATTAGTCTCCAGAAGAAGCACGATGAGTCGGACAATGTCTCTGATTCCGACTAGTCCTTCACTTCCCCCTCTATATGAAGAAGAAATGGCAAGTACGGCGGCAATGGTAGATGAGGAAAGAGAGGAAAAAACTCAAAAACGGAGGATGAGGAGGTATGGAGGATCCAACACGACAAGTACATATCAAGGAAGAAAGGATGCTGCTCCAGATGCATCACCACGAAGGCATCTCATTGGTTTCTTACATAGAACATCACATTTATCATTGACTTCTGAATTGAGTGCAGACGCTTCATTTTATTTGATTGGTTAGTAGCAATGGGTTAAGATGAAAGAGTGATCAAGTTTTATAGAGGAGTGTTGGAAGAGAAATTAAACTTCCGTAAAACCTTTACTAGAAGCGCCCCTAACGTTTAACTTTGAGCCTTTTTTCTCGGTTTCTGAGAAAGAAATAAAAAATGTTAACTGATAAGCTATTTATCATAATATCAAAATGTTTGTCAGGTGACACATTTTTGATATCTTTTACAGGAGCCAAGGAAAATTAGCTCAAAATTGACAATGTGGGTGCCCTTCTATTACAGGTATTTAAGGTTATATGTTGCCATCAATCTTTTTCTCTTCAGGCCATCGAAGGCATCTCGAAGAATCGACAATTGGTTCAGAATCCGATGCGAGAGTATTTTCAGATGACGATGATAGGTGAGTATTCTCGAAACATCCATAAAAGTAAAAGTCATGATTATAGTTCTGGTTCAAAGTGAAATTTTTGTCCCCGGAGACATTGTCTTTCGAATTTCTCCTTCTCTCATCCTCCTCTAAAATAACTAATACCTTTTTTGTCTCTTTTCTGTTTGTCACATTGAGTGACAAATGACTGGGCTTATACGGGAGAGAGTCCTTCATCCTTCTCCTCCCAACTCCCCCGATTGTCCTCATTTTCGTGCTCTTCTCCCATCCCTCTTTTTCGAAATATGAGTGGTTATATTACTGACGATGATTTCGAAAGTTCTGATGGCAAGCCTTATTATTCAACTACTTCAACTTCAACATCTGATTATTACTATGCCATTGGAACAGCACCGCCGAGTTCGACTGGTGCCACGACTCGCGATGTGTCAGTTATTTTTCTTCGCCCGTCCACTCAAATCTCGATAAGAAGACACCTCGTTAAATCTTCGAGAATCTTCGTTATCTAGAGCCTGGTAGTGACTATCACAAAAAGCTTTTAGTGTAGTGCACTATGCGAAATAAAAGAAAAGGAAGATCAATAAAACGTTTTGAAGAGAAGAAATAGATAGGCGCGATAGGAGACATGGGGCGGAACGGGGTGGGAAACGAAGAGGAGAAGATGGATGAGAAGAAGTGGATGATAATTGCTTGCAATAAATCTTTCAGCTCTTTTCCAATTGAAACGAGCTCAGTGGAACTTTTGTGACATGAAAAGACTAAAAAAGTGTACTTTTGGACTTTTGTAGTTTGTATTCTGAAAAATGCGATCACTCTGCTTCTGATTATCAATTTTTAATCAAAACTATTTTCAGAGGGTCCACAACAACCGACTTCACATCCGTCTCCCGACAACATGAAAAAATGGCAAAGAAGAAAAAGAACAAGAGAAACTTTAGGAAGCCATCGAGGGCTTCTTCCTTTTCCAGCATCACAGAATCCTCAATGAGCCTTGATGTGATCACTGTAAATCTGAACATGGATACTGTCAACTTTCTGGGAATCTCAATCGTCGGTCAAACATCGAATTGTGGAGATAATGGAATCTATGTAGCAAATATTATGAAAGGAGGAGCAGTGGCATTGGATGGAAGGATTGAAGCTGGAGATATGATTTTACAAGTCAACGAAACGAGTTTCGAAAATTTTACCAACGATCAAGCTGTGGATGTGTTAAGGTAATAGCTTAATTTCAAGAGAAACATTTCTGAAATTCAAAATAATTTTAGAGAAGCTGTCAGCCGTCGTGGTCCAATCAAATTGACGGTTGCCAAAAGTTTTGAGAATGGTCAGAGCTGTTTCACGATACCCCGGAACAGTAGAGAAGAGCCAGTGAGGCCAATCGATACACAAGCTTGGATTCAGCATACAAATGCTATGAGAGGAATGCCGAGTATTGTAGAAGGTGAGATAATTGATTCAAATCTTATTCGACAAAAACTGTAAATTTTTCAGAAAGCGCCCCAACTCCAATTCCAGGTGAATGGCCACATGGACGTCCTCCAAGTAGCTCCACGGTCACTTCAAACGGATCAAATGGTCAGAATACTGTCGTTGGAAATGGAGCTCATATTCATCTTGATATCCATACTGATAAGAAAAAGGTTGTTGAGATAATGGCTATGCCAGGATCAGGACTTGACATCAAAAATCGAACATGGCTCAAAATCCCAATACCTATGTCTTTCCTTGGTATGAATTATAGTAATAGTTTCCTTTTGATTAATTCATAATGTCTATAGGGTCCGATTTGGTCGAATGGCTATTGGATCGAATCGAGGGACTCCGAGAGCGGAAGACAGCTAGAAACTATGCAGCGGACTTGCTGAAATTGAAATATATTGCACACGTGGTGAACAAAGTCACATTCACTGAGCAGTGTTACTATGTGCTGGGAGACGAGTGTGCTGGTGAGACATACTTTTTTACAAAGCTTAGCCCAGAATTTCAGACTATGCCCGATTCCGAAATGAAGATGGTGGTCCAAAATATCAATGGACGATGGGAATGAATGGAATGTCTGCTGGAAATGGTAGTTCTGTGATGCTTCCACCACCACAATTCCCTGGAGCAGTACCATTTAAAGGAATGGCTCCATCAATGGTGAGCGACGGCGAATCGCGCATGTATGTTATGCACATCTGAAACGTTTCGATTTCATTTAATTTTACGTTCCACCGTTTGACAGAATTTTAGATTCCAACCCCGGTTATCAAATTTTCATTAGTAGTGCTATTCATAATTTAATTCTAAGTCCAGGTTTCCAAATTCAAAAATCAGAACTTTTTGTCTCTAAGAACACATTTCCCGGTGACCAATTATTATAATTATCGTTTGTATCAATAGTTTTGTATTATTTTCCTTCCCATTTTGTCCGTCCGTTTTTTCTGTTGCATTTCTTTCCTCGAAACAATTCACACAAATTGCGATCTTTTCCACGAGTTTCCCAATCTTTGTCGTCTGAAATTCAGCAATTTTTTTGCACATTTTCTCCATCTTTGTCCTCTATTGCATTTCTTTTATTGTAATGATTTACCCCTTCACTCTATTTTTAGCATGTATTAGTGTCCAATGTTGCCATCACAAACACACAAAGAATGTTCAGACAGAATAATAAATATTCTGAAGTCATTTTTCTATATGTTCGCATCTGAAACAAAGCACACAAAAATCAATGAATTCGAAATAAACAGGTGAGTGGATATGCATCAATGCCATCATCTCCATTTCCAATGCAATTACAACCGAGGAGAGAAGGAAGTACAACAAGTGGAAGTAGTGGAGGAGGAATTAGAAAACAGTAAGTTACAATTAATTAGACTAAAATGAAGAAAACTCTTAAATAAGATTCGTACAAAGATGTTCGAAACGGAATAAGGAATTCCGAAAATTCCGAGCATTTTCGGAATGAAATACCGAGAAAAATCGGAAGAAAATTCCAGTCGGAATTTTTCCGAAGCTTTTTTTTCGGAATCAGAGATTTTTGGACTACGGTATAAAAGTGCACGCGAAAAATTTGCTTGTGGGTCTCGAATGAAATTGCCTTTGATATTTTTTTGCGCTATCAAAATCTTTCTGTCAATTTTTACCAGGGGCGTTTTTCTGATGGGAAAATTGAATATCTACTTTAAAATTTGATTTTTTTTTTCAAAAAAATTTGGAAAATTTTGCATTCTGAAATTTTGAAAATCGGAATATTCCTAAATTCCGAAATCCTGAAACTCAAAAAATGAGAATTTTCGACATTCCGAAAAATTCCGAAAAGTCCATTCCGAACATTCCTGCATTCGTAAGCGAAATTATCAGTCTACGAAAACGTCAGCAATTTCATATCGCTCTACCTGAAAATCTGCAATAGAAAGATTGACATTTTTAAATTTCTAATAGCAGTGATTTCAAATTTTCTTCCAATCAGTGCTATGGTAAAATTAAGTGCTAGTAAACAAAAGATAATGAAGCCGTCAAATCTGAATTTACTATTTTCAGACGAGTTGTCGTGCTTCCCCGACAACAGCCACCTCCTCCACCATCGAATGGAAATGTACAGTATGATGATAGTTCAACGATCTACGAGGGATCCAACAACTCATTCCTTGCTGCAACCGGACAACGCTACGAGTATAACTAGTCTTTGATATTTAAGTCATATTTTTGGTTTTATTCTAATCTAATTGATGTTTCATGACTTCAAAATTTCTATAAATAAACATCTACCTTGAACAGTTGTTCAAGAAAACGGATTATATGTACTATTTCTTTAATCAGAAGAACACTTGTTTACAGTAAAATATAATCGCAAGTTTAGAACGAGTTGTAAAAGAAAGAGGTTACAGTACTTGCAGTACTTAGAAAATAATGTCTTCTACAAAACAGTACGACCTTTTTCTGACATCATTTAATTTTTCATTTAGATTGAGACATTCCAGGTAGACTTCTATTTTTTTCATCTATCTTCTATCTTCATATAGTTCAAGGACAGTAGGTTTTAAATTCGTCAAACCGGTCAGTTGACCACTCCAAAAAGTCTTTCTGTCGATAACTTCAATCAGTCAACTCTTTCCTTCTTTATTTCTCACCCAATTCCGTGTAGTTTCTGTGTCCGTTGAAAAATCTTGTTTTTATTTCCCCAAAAAATAGGAATCGACTGATTTTTTTCTCAATCAGCATTACCCTTACCTACTAGTCGAATCAGTTGTTTCGTCATTTTTATATAATGATTTTGCTATTTCTAACACCTATTTTACTGCTGATGAGTTTTGCTGAATCTTCTGAAGCATCAGAGTTAGCAGAATTTCGAATGCGAAGAGCATTTCATAGTGAGTTGATAACAGTTTTAGATTACGGTATTCGTAGAGTTTCAGATGAATTATGCAAATCACATCCAGAAATGTCTTCATGTGATCGTCCGTTTACAGTAAGAGATTTTAGAGAGGAAATAGAAAAACGAGAAAACGATGAGAGTCCCGATAATCGAAATTTCCAGGTATAGCCCATTTTTGTTATTCTGAAGATTTTCTTTTGTGAAAAAAAGTTGTTAAAACGCATTTAAAAATCCCTTTCTACTTATCATTCTGGTCCAAAAAAATCAGATCTGTGGAAGAGAAACACCGGTGACGGTGACCGAAGGTCCTACAACGGTAACTATAGTAACCTAAAAATATTTTTATTTCCAGAATTTATTTTCTCGTTTCTCACTGACTTTCATCGAGTTTTCTTATATTTTTTACGCACGAGAAGCGAGATAAAAAATCCTGAAAATGGAGGCATTTTTAGGTTACGGTAGTTGTTGTTTTGAGACCTACGGCGACGGCCACCGGCGTTTATCTTCTACAGCTTCGATATTTCTGCATCAGAATAATAGCACATAATTTAAAAAGTCTAAAATTGCGTAATTATTTAAACTAGACATTCGTCGTTTTGAACTCATCCACCGAAAATTCCAAACAATCAAAACTTCAGGCTAGCCGGCGTGCCGACTGGGTTGATGATGAAATGGACGAGAAAGATTTGGAATATTATTTATGGAGAAAAAGAAGGCGTCAATATTTGAGAAGAAAAGCTGCGGCGATGTAAGTAAATCTAACTCCCCATAATTCAGCCTAAATGATACATTTTGAAGGAGAGGATCTTACAGATTGAGAGAAAGATATCGTGATAGATTGGAAGAAGATCAGGAAAGAGAAAAAGATGGGGATTATCACTATCATTACCACGAGGCTCCAAGATATGGATACAGTAGATACGGTGGAGGATACGGTAGATATGGACCGTATGGTGGATACAGTGGATATGGATATCCATCGTATGGAGGATACAGTGGCTACGGTGGTTACGGCGGTGGTTATGGATATGGAGGTGGTTATGGAGGTGGATATGGTAAATTTTTTTAAAAAGTTGTTAATTTTGATTTCTGCACTTTCAGGATACGGTGGCGGTTTACTCGGAAATCTTGTGAATATTGGAGCTGGAAGTGGTTTGGGCATTTCGACACCAATCGGTGGCATTGGAATTTCCCATGGTTGGGGAATCGGAATCGGATAATCGTTTCTGAGAAATTCATTGTTTTTCTATGTACATTTCTGTTGGCTTGCTGTCATAATAAATATGATATTTAATCAGTTTTTATTTTTCACCGAGTTAAAAAATAGCTATTCGTTAAGAAAAAGAAGAGTAAGAGAGAAAAAAGAAAAATGATAGAGAATGGTGAAGGAACGTGCAATAGAGTAAGAAAATGTGGATGAAGTTGTATGAAAAGGAGAAAAAAGCAAATGAATGGATGGAAATCTAGTGTTTAAGAGTGTTTTGTACACGGAAAAGATTGCAAAGCTCATCAACCAAAGCTTCGTGACGGAAGCTAACACGAATATCTGGTACGTTGGTACGGTGAATATCGTTTCCAAGAACTCCTTCCTCTCTGTAGTTTGGTCCGAGCCAATGAATTTTGACCTGGAAATGTAGTTTGACTAGTTGAAATTCTTTCGAATAAAGCTACCTTGTCTTCAAATCCACTTTGAATGACACTGTTCCTGGCCAACTCGCACATATCACAGGAACTGAGTTTCCATACTTGAGCAGCAATCGAGTACTCCTCCATCAATGCTTCTTTGGTGTAATGGAATTGAAGTGGATCATCCGTTGACAAAGAGACGTTCAGTCCCTTTTGGAGATATTCTGGCAAAGGATTTCTCTGATAACTGATGAAGAGCGAGTTGTTGGATAATGGAGACATGGCAATTCCAATTTGAGTCAAGTAGTACAAGTATTGGAGTACTGGAACTTTACGGAGAAGAATTCCATGAGCAATACTTTCACTGGTCAGGTATCCGGTGAGCAAGTGAGACACGTGTCCAGCTTCTCCACAATGTGGACGAAGAGCGAATGTGTTGAGTCCACGAGCACGACGGAATGCGTTCAAGGCGCAGATGTTGGCGTACATGTAGAAGAGATAGTAGTTGTATGGTGGATTCTCCACGTCGCTAAATTCCGGTGGACATGGAGTTGATCGATCGAACTGGAAATTAAGATCGATAGGAAATTGAAGTTCAAAAAACGGCTACTCACATGAACAAACTCGTGCTTGCTTTCATCGTCGACTGAATCGATTCCAGAAACTTGTTGAAGGAAGAGATGAAGTTCTGGGTGAGAAGATGGATCGTTGGTGACCTCGAAAAGTGGCGTGAACAAATTGTCAAGCATGTCATCGAAGTTCTTGATCATGTTCTTAAGACGGTACACATCGCTGAAAATTGAAATTTGTGAATCGTCTTGTAATTGTTGAACCTACTAAAGTCGTGGAATCTGAATAAGCCATCTGGCATTTGGACTCCAAACATCATGTGTGAGTGCCCACTTGGCCAAGCTATCCCACTCGGACTTGCTGCGTCCGTAGATCGAGAGTCTTGGCTCCGCGTGTTGGTACTTGCTGTCTTCCAAATCAGATAACACCTCTTTGAGCAAATCAGCAAAATACTTTCCGCCGACATAGTTGTCAGTTTTGATGAAGATTTCACGGAGAGTCGATTCTCCAACTGGGTTGTACTTGGTGTTGAACTTATCGAAACGGTGGAAAGTGTTACGATCGGCATGAACATCCAACATGTCAACTGAAAGATCGTAGGCATCAATTCCCATCTTCTTGAACACCTCCTTCATCGTCACTTTGGTTCCATTGTTTTCGAGAACAACAGTGTCGGCTTCAGTCTTTATCTTCTTCTTGATGAAACGAAGCAAGTGCTTCTGATTCATAGAAGAGGCAGCGTGAATGTGAGTGTCTACTTTACGAATGTTGTAGAAATCACGATGAGATACTCCTTTCTGCTCGTGGAGCTCACGAAGTTCGTTGAGAAGAACATGGAGTTGGAACTTGTTCTCGAGGTATGACAGACGACGGAAACAGAAGGATTTCCTGAAAGAAAATAAATGTTTCTCCCTATTAGAACTGAATTTACTTGAAACTTACAATGGGCCATCGACAATCATCGCAGTCAACTTCTCAGTGTCATTCAAAAATTCTTCTTTGGTCACCGAGACGTTCTTGAACTGCTCGTCAATAGTACCATCTTCATTGCAAATGTCAATCTAAAATTAGCTTTGAAATTCAACTTGAATCCAGAATCTGGATTCCTTTAACTTACCACTCCACGATTACGTTTCAACTTGTAATACTTCTCGTATTTTGGCAACGGATCATTCTTTCCCCAGTGATCCTTTGGTGGATCTGGTGGGTTGAAAGAAGTTTGGACGGCTGAAAATGAAGTCGGTCGGATTTTAGAACTAATTTTCAAAATTTTCAGAACATAATCAACTGTCATACGGAAGGAGTAGAAGAAGTCAAAGTCAGAAGGACAAGAAATAACAAACAAGACACACTACGAAAAGAAATATTGTTTGTTGGTGTTGATAAAGGAATCAGAAAATACCATTAGTAGAGATTTATGTTTGTTTTCACTCAATTTAGGATTACTGTAGGTTGTTGAACATTTCTAATTTGAGAGTCGCTGTTATCGGTTTAGACAGGAGGAGAATAAAAACCAAAACATTAAATTTCAGAATATATCACTCGAATTATGTCTTACCCTCCAAATCCGGCATACTTGGCGGATGGAACAGGATTTTAGCTAAAACAAGTTTTCTAGGAACACATCACTACAATCGAATTTTTAACTTTGATTTTTGAAAGATAATAGATTACAATTAGAAGTTTACTGTATGTGTATGTGTGTATGTCAACCTCAAAGTGCATGGGACAGAAATCCCAGAATTCTGGTGTGAAAAGTGCAGCTTACTATCACTGAAACTTTATGAATCATACGCGTGTCATACACCCGGCGTCGTCAGACAACCCGAAAACTTACATAATTGTCTAACTGAAATGAATGTGTTAGGATTTTATAGTTATTAAAAAATGATAATCCCAGATGAGGACTCACTTGTTTCCGTGTTTTTGACCCGATGTTTAGGCAAATTATTCGGATAATGTCCAGTCAGAAAATTACGAGTTGTAGATGGGAATTGGTTTCCAATACGTTCCATGTATTTTGAGCGGAGATGAAGAGCTTCAATGAGATGTCCAGAAGCGGTTTTCAGATCTTCAAGAGGAACACCGCTGAGCTCTTCACCAGTAATAGCCATTCTTTGATAATTGACATCGACTGCATCTCTGAAGGTGTGCAAATCGACAAGTTGTGGAGATTTGCATCTTGGTTCCGTCTGAATTTCGTCCAACACAGATTTCAAGGAAGATGGTGACAGACATCCATCGTTTTGAGACTCAAGACGAGCTCTGAAACAATTTTTCAATTTTTAGATAACGGAAATTCGTGCTGAATCTGAAATCAGATAATCGTTTCTCGATAGCATTCCTCTACATAATTTGTAAGATACAGGGAGAGTTCAATACAAAAACAAGCATGCACTGGTTATCAAAACTTACTTTACTTTGGCCCAGACTACATGCAAGTCGATATCCAAAGCCATATCCTTTTGGAATTTTTAAATGATTCAGTTAACAACAAAAAGAATGCGTTCCGAATTTAGAAAAAATATGTAAACAGAGGATACCAGCAAGATGCCACCGCTAATGTAATTTTTAAGTCAGAGAGAGCAGCGATCATGAAGAGATGAATCAAAAATGTGTGCTAATCGCATCTCTTCCGTGGAGAGAGCGGATAATCTTGGGGGATAAGGAGAAGACCTAAATGAGACATGTGTTGTGACTAAAATTCAAATCTGGAAGCCGCGCGCGAAACCGTAAAGTTTGTTTTGGTAGATGAAAAAACTATTACTACTCATCAAAAAATATCACGTAATCAGCTGCAATTCAGGCATAAAATATGAAACGATAACTCAAAGAGCCTTCAGAAAAAGTGAACCATGATATGGAATCAGGTCAGCGAATCCTGAGAAATCAAAAAGAAAAAGCTCCCTTTTTCTTCCCCTTCAAATTATAGGTTATGTTCTTTCAGGTATTTTCAAATAAATAAAAAGAAACTCAATTTCCTTATGAGATATGGAAACAGAGAGAATGGGAAAGCTATTGTGTCTTGTGTTTGAAGGAGAAGAAAGAGCCAAGCTAATCCTTTTCAGAATACAAAAAATTGTGAGCTCTAATTTGAATCATCCGTGGTGCAGACATTTTTTGTAGGGACAGGTACAGTTGAACAATCGGTAGATGAGCAATGAACAGAAAAAAGGAATAATGGTTAACCTGTGTTTTAGAGCTTTTTTCTCCGAATTCTGTGGTGACCAAAAGTCGTCTCCAACAACAGCCGTCGATCCTTTATTGGCGAGTCCCATATCCACATGAGCAACTGTCATTCGCCGATTCTTATCAGCAATTCCGAATTTCTTCTTTGAACCCGTTGATTTATCTTTGCCGATAGGAGGTTTATCACTGAAACATATGTCACACGAACAAAAAATAAACATGCAGGGAGGTGATTAATGGAAAAAGCACAGGACAAGAATTGAAATGTTAAAGTTAAAAATGAAAAGGGGAGGAGGGTGAATTTGAGGTTTTGTTTTTCTTGATAGGTATTTGATAGAATAGAGGAATAGTAACAATTTTACGACGAGTTTTTTTTAAACTTACAAACAAGACCAACGTCTCGATTGTGCACCCTTTTCACTAAAGAAAATTTCAGGATCCAACTTTCCGATTCCAACTAACAAAATTTTTTAAACTAACCGGTTGGTAATTTCAATGGTTCTGTGAGCACGCGACTCGTTGACCTCGATAGGAGTGGTGGAGATTTCAAATGGAGAAGCGGTCGAGTGATCAGCATGACCCATCTAAAAACATCTAATATGAACCGAAACAAAAATACTGTTTCCTACCGCGTACGCCTTTTTGAATGGTCCCGAATCGAAAACCTCACTGTCGACAGTCTCTGAAAAATTTTAGACTAGAAAATCATTTCAGGTCAATTTAAAAAAGGAAAAGTTTCACAACACATTCACCAATCACAATATTTTAATCTTACCAATTTGAGCTTCAATAGCATCACTTGACAAGGGAGCTAAGGTGTTTTACTTTTTTACTTATTTTTTAAATTTTAAATTTAAATTTGTAAGGGTGGATAACCGATAAAATGACCCGATTTTCTCACTTACTCTTGGAACCTGATTTCTCATTTTTCTCGTTTTTCACTGGACTAGAAGATCGTCTTTTCTCATTCTTCTCTCTGAATTTACTACTCTACTTATTCAGTCATTTTATCACTCTCACTTTTGTTTTTTCGCTTCAAAATATCTGATTGGTGGTTCAGAATCTTCCGGAGATTTTTCTTTCTTCACTTTTCTTTTGGGACTCGGAGAATCTGGTGGACAAACTACATCGATTGTTTCTATTTTCTCCCTAAAAAGTATCGAAAAAAGTTTTCAAAATCTCATCCCCGATGCTCACTTTGAATTAGTCAAATCACTACTGACGACGGGGACAGGCGCAAAAGAACTAGAAACTCCGGTAATCGAAAAATCATGTTCTGTCATATTGAATGATCGGGCTTTCATTGCTTTATTCGGCCCAACGATTGTGTCAGTGGAACCAATTTTCGAAAGATTCACATTGAATAATGGAGATCCATCAGTGGATTTCACATTGGTTGGTTGAATATTTGGGGGATCCGGAACAGTGGGTTTCTACAAAAAACTAGTCTTATCCTATTAGAATTCACCTTCGCTCTAATGAAACAACAGAAACTAATGAATTCAAGAATGAATACATTGAACGGAGTACTGTCGTTCGCTACAAAATTCACTCTCACCACCTCTGGACTTTTCGCTGGTTGAGAAGTGATAAATGGCTTTTTCTGGATTTCTTTCACAGAGCCAGGCGGTTGCTGAAACTCCTAATCTAATAGTTTTATAAAATCAACCGAGATGGACCACCTGTTTCTTCAAAGTCGAGTGTTTCGTTCCCATGGTTTTTCTATGCACAATCTACACCTCTTTTTGTTGGCTTAACTCTTGATACAACACAAAAACTAACTACTGATTCTACCGGTTATCCATCCTACGGCATGTGGCTTTTCACCACGCATCCTAGATTTTCCACCGGAAAAAGTCACCCAGATTTTTTGTTAAAAATTCACGTAAAAATTCAAACTTACTCATTCCGTAGTCACGAATGTTGTCCAATGGATTTGGACGTCCTGACTGAAATCACATGGAATTTTTTAACTATCAAAAATGTTTCAGAAAACTCACTTCAGAACTTGGGGATGCTGCTGCGTGCGCTTCTTCATCGCTATGCTCAGCAGCGGGAGTAAAAAAATGGACACCGTTCGTATCCGTCGGCATTTTTACTGCAAAAAAGGTTCAATGAATTTTTTGATGTCAAGTTGCAACTGCACGATAAAACGACAATGAAAGAATGAGAAAAAAGAAGTGATTTGGACCGTTATCAGAAACCAAAAGAGCCCCAGAGTGACGGAGAGCGATCATTAAAATGTACATAAAAGATTATAAAACGATTGGAGGAAAGTGGCACCAGACTGGCGGGAGGAAAAGGGTTACTACATACGAAATATTTGCGAAAAATAACGAACAACAAGAAGTTCAACCATAGGATCACATGCTTTTTGCTATGAGACAAATGATGATTGGGCGTTGGACATTGCTGACAAATAACTGATTGGCCTTTTTCAAAGTTCAAGAAAAACGCAGTAAACATCACATAACTCTAAATCATTCAAATTAATAGAAATCGTTCAAAAGTAGGATAATTGAACTTTGAATTCTGCATGTTGGCATAAAAAAATTTCAGTAGAACAAAATCAAATTATTCAGTAGATCAAAAGTCTGAAACCATTTTGATTTTAGCAAACCGTCCACTTTGAGCCCATATATCTCACTTCCCGTAAAAGATATCAGAAAGTGGTCAACTGACAAAATATTTAACATAGTATCAAAAATATTTTTTAGTTGACCACTTTTTGATATCTTTCACAGGAATCGAGATAAATAGGCTCAAATTTGGTATATCTATTGTCGTAAGTCGCCAGAAATATGAACCATTCAGACTCCTGATCAAAAAACCACTTGGTAGCTCAAGTCAAAAAAAAAAAAACTGATAGCGAGGTCTGCACGTCTCACTGGCCTAATCGGCTTTTCTGGTGTCGAGTTTTCACCTCCTCCCTTGCGTGAGCCGATGTCATCATTCCTCTCTCTATTTATCTTTCGTTTTGAGCTCACTCCTTTTTCAGTAATGGTAAAAATTTTATAGATAACTGATATCAGCTCCTTCAATATGAAAGGAGAGCGTGCCTATGTTGCATATGTTTCTGAAAACTAAAGAGTATAAGAAAATAAGACACCGTGGGAAGTGGAAGAAAAATAATTAGATAGTGTAGAGTGATAAAAAGGACATTGACACTTTTACAATTTCATGGTTTTTCAGAGGGTTGTTGGGTTGAAGAGAGGTATATGAACATGTGGTTGAAATGTTTCAGAAGTTTTAAGTACCTATTAAAAGTGCAAGCATTTCAAAGATAATGAACATTAAAAATGAATGCCGTCTTCTATTATACTGATCACGGTCTCCCACAGAACAGTTCCGAACTGCAAATTAATTTTTGATCTACAAAAAAAAATTTGGGGCGATCGCAATCGCAAGTCTAAAGCCGTATTTTCAAAATTTTTTATCTGATTTTGTGGAGATTCAAGATGATTCAAATGGTTTTTAAAAAATTAATTTGTGGTTATAGAATCATGTATAGTCCTTTTCCGGAAGAAAATATTCCAAAAAATGCCAATTTTCAAGATTTTTTACAGAAAAAATGTATCTCTCTTTCAGTTTTAGACATTTCTAGGAGTTCTATAGCTCAAAGAAACCGCAATCGTTTGTTCTTCATTTTGTAGGGATGAATTTTTAATGCGTCTGATAAAATTTTTTTATAATCAAAAAACCACACGAAATTGCACGAAATCGCATTTTTGCTGGGTTTTTGATTATAAAAAAAGTTTTATCAGACGCATTAAAAATTCATCCATACAAAATTAAGAATAAACGATCGCGGTTCTTTTGAGATAAAAAACTCCTAGAAATGTTGAAAACTGAAAGAGGAGATACATTTTTCTGTAAAAAATCTTGAAAATTGGCATTTTTTGGAATAGTTTCTCCCGGAAAAGGATCATATAGGGTTCTATAGCAACTAAATGATATTTTAAAAGTCATTTGAATCATCTTGAATCTCCACGAAACCAGATAAAAAATCTTAAAAATGCGGCTTTAGCCTTGAAAATATGCTTCAGATCAAAATTTTTCATGTAAATCAAAAATAAATTTGCAGTTCGTGAATGTTCTGTGGGAAACCGTGCTGATAGGAAAAATCGGAACTATTGGAAGAGAAACGCCGATGGCCGTGGCTGAAGTCCCACAACGAAAGCTACAGGAACCTGAAAATATGTTTAATTTCAGAATTTATTTTAGTCGATTTTTCTGTTGTTTTCCCCCCAAACAAGTCGGAAAATATAAGTTTTTGATAGCGAAAAAATTGACTGAAAAAATGATTCCTGACAACAAGAATGAAAATTAGGTTACTGTAGTTGCCTTTGTAGGGCCTTCGGCAACGGCCACCGGTGTTTCCCTTCCACAGCTCCATTTTTTTTTGTACCAGTATACATAAAACCGAATTCTCATGGACTTTAGAAACTTAGAAATCTCAGAAAAAAGAAGTCTGCAGACAAAAGATCTCTTCTAAAGAATTGTGAACAATTACAGTTACAGAATCGTATTTATATCAGTTTTCTTCCTTGGAATCAAAAAAAAATCAACACGGAACATAAATTGCGTCTTATGATGCCTTTGAAAAATTCAATTTCAAAGCACGGGGATCGGGAAAAGAAGCGGTAGAAGTGATGAAAACGAAAACAATATTATCCGATTTTCTTTTATATCTTTTTGCAAATCTTCTCTCTTCTCTCTACAATAAGGCGTCAAAGATGTCGATTAATAATGGTGGTTTTTCAAAAACAATATATGTCGTCTTCCTTTCAAATAAAATCAAATAAAACCAGATCAAGCAATAATGAAACAGGAGAAATATCGATAAAAAGCATGCAATAAAAGTGTTAGATTAAAAAGTGACACATTTGCTTGCAAGCCTATACTAACGAAATGGACAACAAAGTTGCAAAGAGAGAAAGTTGTATCCTCGATGGGTATCAGGTGACCAGGAATCAGTTGGTCGTTGTCTGCCACACATCTCAAACGTATTTTCCAAAAAGTTTTCATCTATTAAGCTCGCACGATCGCTTGCAATTGTGATTCAAAAAAGTAAACAGATCCCATTTCTCTATTTTTTCGAAGAGCAAACACTTTTTTTGCTAAACACGATTTGATGTGAATTCTAACAAATAACTATACAGGAATGAAGGAAAAAAAAAGAACACTAATGCTCTCTTCATCACACAAATTCGAAAAATGGAATAAGAGGAAGACGATGTGAATGGGGAAGAGAAAGGAAATGCAGAGGGGAGTGGTCACCAGACTAGAAGAGAAGGTATGGGAAATGGAGAGAGCACAGAGAAGCAGAGAAAAGAGGAAGAAGAGCGAGGACCCTTCGCAAAGATGAATTTTCGGATGGGTGTCCAGGAAATTATAAGTAGCAACAGCTGTGGACAACAAAAAAAGTTTCAGAAATCAAAGGTTCACAGATTCCAACAAAACCACAAACATTTTAGTTTGAAATCGAGGGGTACGGTGCTATGAAACCAACGACCACTTTGAAGATATTCAGAAGTCAAAATGGGAATGATACCATAGAAATCAAACTTGCAACGGGCCGGTCTTTTTCAGAATTTCCTCGGCCCGGTACCTAAAAATTCGAAAATTCTTAAAATTCGAAAAATCCCGAGAATTTTTGAAAGTTGAAAAACTCTTAAAAATTCTCAAAATTTTACACAAATTCTAAAAATTCCAAAATGCAGAAATTCCGAAAATTCCAAAACTTCCAAAACTTCCGAAAAAAAACAGAAAGTTTCAATTTTTCACAAATTATAAAATTATGTCATTTTCAAAATTTTCGAACTTCAAAATTTTCTAAAATTCCGAAAACACCAAAAAATCCAAAAAGTTCCAAAGATTCCGAAATCCGAAATCCGAAAATTTCAAAAAAATCAGAAAATTTCAAAATTTCACAAGTTATAAAGTTATGCAAATTTCCAACTTTCCCAAATTTTTCTGAAATTCGAAAATTCCAAAATAAAACTCAACAAATCTGAAAATTCCAAAAATCTGAAATTCCAAAAATTCCAAAATCCGTAAATTTCAAAAATTTCAGAAACTCCGAAAAATCCAGAATTTTTCGAAATTTGACAAGTTGTAGAATTATGCAAATTTCCAAACTTTCCGAACATCAACATTTTCTAAAATTCCAAAAATAACAACAAAAAGATCCAAAAAAACTAAAATTCCAAAAATTTCAAGTTTTTCGAAAATCAAAACTTTTCAAGTTTTCCCAAGATATAAAGTTATGCAAATTTCGAAATTTTCCACTTTGAAATTTTCTATTCGAAAAACTCAAAACTCCGAAAAACTCTTATAATACCAACAATCCAAAAGTTTCAAAAATAAACAGAAAATGCAAATTTCAAATTTTCCCAAACAGATATTCCGAAAATTCCAAAATCGGAAACTTTTGAAAAACCAGAAGGGTTGATGAAAAGTAAAAATAAAGTTTCTGCCAAATTAAAATGATTGAAAAACGAAAAATTTGGGAGAAATCTAAAGTTTATGTTTCCGAGTTTATATGAGAGTTCAATTAAGTTCGCTGTTTACGTCCAGATCTCTTTCTTCCAGATCTAGCTGCCTTCTCCTGTGGTACCTGCTTTCCAGCCTTCTTTTCATTCTTCTCTAACTGTATAGCTTTCCTTTTTCTTTCTCGTTTCTTTTTTCTTATCGCCACAAGTCTTCTCAAATCTCTCCATTCTCGGAGGATTTTACCAATTCTCGCCTCACGTTTCAACCGATTTTCCACAGCTCTCTTGCGACGTCTTCTCTTCTTCAACACTCTCATTCTTTCCTTCTGATCCACATTCAATGCGAGTCTTCTCACCGCCATCTTCTTCCTTCGGTAACGTCTTCTGAGCTTCTGACGTCTTCGTTGTCTTCTCTTCACACGTCTCTTCTTCCGATGCTTCCTCTTGTTCCACTTTCTCAACTGATGCCTTCTCTTTCTTCGGATATTTCTCAACCTTTTCTCTTTCAATATGTCCATTGTTCCTGGTTCTGGCTTGATTGGAGTACCTTTCTTCGGAGTAACTACCACATCTTTTGAGGCTCCAGAAACTGACTTCTTTCTTTTTTTCGACACAAATTTTCGTGTTTTCGGAATCGTCGGTACCACATACTTGACTCGAACTCTCTTTTTCTCATCTTTTTTCTTGGCTACAACTTTGGTTTTCCTATTTCGAGACACTGGATGTTTTGACTTCTTATTGATCAGCCGATGTCTTCTTAAACGGAACCTTGATTGACGATTAGGTCTTCTTTTCCTCCATCTGATCTTCATCAGTTTTGCATACAGCTCAACCATTTTCTCGTATTTGTCACGAGTCTTCTTGTATCCAATGGTTCGTCTAACTTTGGTACTCAAGTACTTCCGTTGGAAAGAAATCAGTTCCTGAAAATCTTCAAATCATTATCATATGAACATTACTATATCAACCTTGGTTTTTCTTTTTTCCTCACGACGCTTTTCTCTCCACCATTTCAACTTTTCCCTCAATCTGATCATTTTTCGTCGTTTGACCAATTTCTTTTTCAGCTTCTTCAAAACCTCTTCATCTGTTTTTTTCTTCGGTTCTCCTTTACTTCTTATACTACCCGTCTTTTCCCGATTCTTATTTTTCTTAATTCTCACTTTTCTGGCAGGAGGGCACCAATCCCAGTTATTTTTATACAATAACTCGTACTCTGCAATTGTTATTGGAGTACAATGGTTGATCTTTTGCACCATCTGCATTTCGATTGGCGGTGGAGGGTAAGTGACTTTAATCCATTGGTCCAGCGTCGCTAGAATTTCTTTGAAGTTTGGACGATCCGCAGGATTTCTCAACCAAAGTCGTTTGAAAAATGTTTGAACGTCAGCAGGCAACGTTTTTGGTAACACATGAAGATCATCACCGTCTTTGTAGGCTGCGATAACTTGACATTCCTTTTTTCCCGCTTTTTCATGATGATCTTTCAAGAAGATTGGAGCGGCTCCATTTTTAAATATCTCAAAATAACAGAAAATAAGACAAAGTTTCTAATGATTTTTCTTACCTCGTTGCAAGTGACTCCATAACTCCATACTTCACTTTTCTCATTGAACGTTGCAGGTCTTGTTGTCGTTTGTATGGCTTCAGGAGCATACCACCTTACCGGTAAGTGATCTCTTCCAATGTTCACTGCCGTCAAGTTGACAATAAATTCTGATAGTCCGAAATCGGCCAGCTTCAAGATTCCATATCGGCTGAACAACGCATTTCTGGAAGCAATATCCCGATGAACCATTTCTCTGAAAATTGAGTTTTTTGGAAGTGGGGGGGGGGGGGTAAATGGAATTTTAAAAAAGTGATTACCTTTGAGTCATAAAGTCCATTCCCGAAGCGATTTGCCAACAATAAAGAAGCTTCTCACCAAGAGTGGTTTTTTCACCCTGGAATGTTAATGGACAAGTGATTACATACAAAGTGAAACTATAACTTACCCGATCCACAATGTGACTTGTCAAATCACATGCCATGATCTCTACAAGTAGCATTGGCGAAGGCTCATCAATAGATACCCCAATGATCTGAAAATGAACTGTTTTTATTGAAAATGATTCAAAATCCACACCTTTGTGATGTAAGGATGTTCCAACTTTTTCATTATAGAAGCTTCTTTCATCAAGTTGTCTCTTTCCACTAGAAAACGATCACCATCCGCATGAAGAGTTTTGACAGCCACTAAACGTCGTCGATAAGCTCCAATTACCACATCACCGAAATTTCCACCTCCGAGTCGAATCGCATGTTTTGGACAGCTGGTAAAGTGATCAATATAGTTTGCCAAAATATTAAGCTCTTTTTTCTCTTGAGTTTTCAAGAGATTCCTCAATGCCTCTGCTGAGACTATATTTTGGAAAAGTGAACATTTTCAGCATTTCCATTGTTTTCAGCTCGATAAGAACAAAATGAGTATAAAAATGTCTAGACTGCGCCCACTTTGGGACCCACCGCGAAAACTACAGTAACCTAAAATAATGGGAACTTTGGGCCTGTAGTTGAATTTTTTGGCCTAATATTGGCCTTGGAGGTTTTAAAATTTAAAAATGAGTTACGAAATGACTAGGCTCAGCCCACTCTGAGTAAATTTTTTAACAAGCTCATTCGAAACTTTCGCTACTTCACAAAAAAATTTGCTATGATCTCTAGTATCAATATTTGAGGCTATTTCAATCTTACATGATTTTGTGTCGTTTGATGAACCAATCCGGATGCTTTCTAGGAACTTTCAGTTTCAATTGAGTCATTCCGATGAAGTTCTGATGATAGTGAGCAACCAGATCCATCAGAGTTCTGTGAGCTGATGGAAAACTTTCCAATATCCACTTGTTACGTCGGAAATTCGTAGAAAAGTGTTCAAACTAAAGAAAATAAGTGAGTATTAGGTTGCTATTGAATAACTAAACCTTTCGTGTTTTATCCACAAAATAGACTACAGTAAGGATAGTTTTTGTGGCTTCTTGGTAAAGCATACAACGAACAATAAATTCACCTTCAACGGCATCTTGCAGGTACTCCTGAAATGGATACTTGAAATCTCAATACCTCCAAAAACTCTCCACCTCAGCTTCCGTCTGTGACACGTAACCCCAGAACCAATTTTGTTTTCTATATCCTCTCTGCTTCTCTTTTTTGGTGATTTTCCACTTCCAGTCACGACGATGACGTCTTCGTTTAGTTTGTGCTGGTTGTGCTAATCCAGGAATTTCACTCGACGGTTTCTCGGATGATCTCGATCTTCCACTCGGTCGCTCATTTGATGCAGGACTCCGTGGATTCCTTGGATCATGTTTCGAAGGTTTTCTACCTTTCCCATGTGGTTTTTTATTCTTTCCTCGTTTTGATGGTTTCTTCATTTTTGAATAAACAGAAATAACTCGAAAATTGTATGAGTGGTGGATATCATGAAAGAGTTCAGACAGTGGTATACTGATGCCAACACGAGCAACACGTGTTTGAACCATAAAGTAGATCAAAAAACTGATTTCAGATTTTTATTGAGAGATCTTCTGAGTTAAAAACGAAAAAAAACCACTGTCTCGAAATTTTGTTCAAATAGGCGTCTCAAGGAGTTGAACTTGTGGGACGCGACGCGTATTGCAGATGCGGGGCCGCTACCGACTGAGCCACGCTGACGAATCTAAAGCGGGCTCCCGATGGTACATGAAAGCTTCAAAATTTCAGGATTTCGGAACTATAGATTTCTTGACTTTCATAATATCCTTTTTTTTCAATTTTTTCGGAATCCCATAATTTCTAATTTCCAGAATTTTAAAATTTCAGAACTTCAGTTGTACGCAGAGAATTGTTGACGGTTACATAAATATGCATACCCTAACTCCAGGAAAACTCCGAAATATCTCCTGTCGCAAATTTTCAGAAAAATTAACTGCAAAGAATTCAAATCTCATTCCTGAAGGTACTCCATAAGAATTCTGAAATCTAAGAAACTTTCTTGCAAAATTTCCCCCAATTAATCATGCCTCCGAATCTGTGACGTCGTTTTTCTCGGCTGGTGCTGCTTACAATTAGAAGATGTTATCCTATCGATCGGAGGATCAACCGCATTCCTCAATTAATTTTCGAAATTTTTGTATCGTTTTTTTCTGGCACACTGCCAGAAGAACCTTAAATAAAATCCCGCTCTAAACAGGTATTCCTTCAGATATTGGACAAAGATTTCGAGATTTCTCCTTCTTCTTCTTCCTTCCCTTCAGTCGAGAATCGCAATGACGGATCGGTGGCCCGTTTCCAGGAGTGGAAAGAGATTTGAATCTTTTAGGAATCGGAGAGAGGAAGAATCGAGGGATACAAACACATACAACACACTATGAACATTCTTCTGAATTATGTTCATTTCTTTTATTTTCTTCCAGGCAGAGGCAAAAGTTTTCCTTTTTTTCGGGATGCGAAAATTTAGCATTAGCAACACACGAAGTTCTCAAAAAGCATAGCAACCGTAACCCGTAGTGATGATCCTTTCCTTCTTTCCTTCTCGCTTTCACTTCTTCTATATTCCGCCTACTGAATATAAAAACGTAGAGAAACAAGAGACATATTCTGGGCACTAGATTTGGCAGTAATCCGTCCGAATTTTTGTGTTGTATCCCTGTTTTATTTAATCGTTTTTCAAAACCCATAGGTAGAAAACCGAGTGTGAAGAGGTCGAGACAAAAAAGTTTTCGCTTTGCACTTGGATGTTTCAAGATTCCTTTTTAAATGTTTACACAACATCGCTTTCTTGATTTTTCGATCAAAAACTACGATATTTTAATCAATTCTACCATCCACAAAAGACCAAACTATCCCTCCTCTTTTTTTTGCATAACTAATTAAATGATAATCACCTCATTATTCAGTGTTTCTCGATAGTTCTATATCATTCCACGAATCAATCCACCTCATTCCAACACTATTCTTCGTCTCAAAAACGGCTTCTGGTCTCGAAATTAATTGTAAGTTGAAAATTACAGGTTTACTATTACTCTAGTCTAATGCCAATGCGCGTTGGGGCCAAAAGCGCGAAGGTGGGAGGAGCTTAAGTCTGGTAGCGAAATCCTTAAAGGTGCATTTAAAGAACCGTGTACCGTAAAACCTGTTTGAGAAGGGTCCCTTTAATTGAAGGGCCCCTCAAATAGAAGGGCCCTCCGAGAAGGGCTTGGAAAAAAGTAGAGCCCCCTGTAGGAGAAGGGCCCTCTTCAAAATGTGTTGTTTGAAATTGATGCATTTTATGTATTTTGAACGAAACTTAGTAATATTTTTTGATTAAAATTTTGAGAAAAATGTCCCGAAAAATAGATGGACCTCCTGTAATTGAAGAGCGCTTCTAATAGAAGGGCCCTCCGGAGATAACTTGCAACAATAGAAGAACCGACCCTTCTAATACAGGTCTTACAGTATGTTTGTAAAAACTTCCTGGCCTGAATTTGCTTTTCTTCCGACTAATTTCCAGAAAATAATTAATAACATACATGCGCTTTTTTAAAATTCCACCAGACCTAAACTCCGCACACCTTTGAATTTTCGGCTGCAACGCGCATAGCAATTAGACCAGAGTAATATCACCTACAAAAAATTGCGCGAAACCTCATTTTGCAGAGTTTGCGAGCCGTGTAAAATAAAAGTTTATATGTGGAGGTGTTGCTTCGAAGAATAGGAAAAAACGGGGAGGACATACACACCTTTGTATGTTATATTGCAGTTTGAATCGGACAAAAAACTATGCTTCCGTTTTTAAAACGTTTTTTTGTGATGTTTTCTGTCGTTTCTCGGGGAGCAACGACTGTAAAAAAACATAGGCCAAAAAGCTTCTTCAGCTATGGAAAATCCCCCAGTGTAGGATTTAAAAAATAGTTTTTTTTCGTTCAAAAGTTCAGTTCATCCGCAATTTGAGAAAACGTCGCCCTGGAGAAAGTAGGAAAAATTCTCTTCCAAAAAATCCTTCAAAAGCTGACAGCTTCAATGTCGTATTTGTGACAAAGCCGATTCTGAATTTCGGGAAGATTCATTGAAACAAACATCAATGCTGTACACCTATATCTTTTTGTCAAAACGAAGTTACCGTATAACCTATATTAGAAGGGCGAAGCTATCTATCGTCCCAAGGTACCTCCGAAAGGCCCTTCTATTAGAGGGGCCCTTCTAGTACAGGATTAACAGTAGCCTTAAACAAGGCACCGCTGAGTAGCGTATCGCTATTTGAAACTTTCGAGACCAACGCTAATTTTACTGTAGTCTTAAGTTTGTTCGCGTTGAGAACACCCACACAAAGTTAACCCTAAAATTGATAATGATAATGAAAACAATTATGTGAGTTTTGCTTTTACACTAAACTTAAACTTTTTGTTTAGAGAGACCGTATGATGCCATAACATAGAATCTGAAAAATAGTACAAGGCATGTATTAGAATGACTTCATAATCATGCTGATAACCAAATGACCGCGCCCAAAAATGCCCCTACCTTTAGAGACCTCCATTTTCAATATTTACTTTCGATGAGACGTTCGATACCTTTATTTTATCACTTCTTCCCCTTTTCTTTTTCATGTATTCTCTGTAGGTTCATCGATTCTTATTTAGTCTCTGACCGATATGGCTTATTATTCAAAACATCTATGGAATCCATGTTTTTTGAGAGAAAAGTTATTGGGTGAAAGATGACAAAAAGATGGTATACTTTGTTTAGTTTTGAAATGTCGGCGTGTGAATTTCAAATGTATTATGTGCTATTCTATTCGCCTTTTTTGAAAGAAAATTGAGTTGTCTGAATTCAGAAATATAAGCCTATTGTCAAATTCATCCTATTCCAAAGCGTTTTTGATGTTTTTATTCAGACTTTACATATCCTTTAGTGATCTCAAAAAGATAAAAAAAATCATGATTTCTGGAGATTCTATCGTTAAAAATATTTTAAGGCAGTTCCTGAAACCTTAATTTCCATAAAACCTGTAATAGAAAGACCCCCTCCCCCCCAAACTGTCAAGTGTGAGCTCGTCAATTGATAAATTTTTTATCATAGTATCAAAAGTATTTTGTCAGTTGACCACTTTTTGATATCTCTCACAGAATATCAGATATATGGGCTTAAAACTCGATTAGAGTTTTTACGGTAGTTATACAGACATGCAGCGGAACTCTCAAGACTCCTATTTTCTGATAATTTATCAATCAAGTTTATTCAAAACCATCTAGTAAAGGGCTCTTCTCTCATTTTTCCAATCTATTCCACTAGATTAACCAGGATCCCGGATATGGACAGCTTCTTCCCTTAAAATGTCAATTCCATGTTCGTCTTCTATTTTCCTCGTCGTCCCGAGTGCATATCTTTTTCTGTGATCTAAATCGGCAATTCGTTGGTAGGTCACACTCAAAGGAACCCATTTTCATGTTTCCATCAAAAAGAGGAAACTTCCCCCCAAAATGAGTGTATTCTCTTTTTTTAAAAGTAAATCATATAGGTCAATGTTTAGGTCAATTGCTCTTTTTTAATAAACATTTTTGGTTAGGGTTGAAGAAAATGAATATGAAGAACTCTCTTCTTCCGGAAGAATAATCAAAACATAAATGACCACACTTTTGTTTATTTTATTAAGAGTAAAACGGATTGGGAGGAAGAAGAATAGTCCCAAACTATTCTCCCTACATTCTTTTCCTCACTATTAAGAGTTTCAAAGAAAGTTGGTGAGAATTTTAAAAATGATGTGTTCTCTTCTTGGACTGTAGCTTTCTTGGACTGTAGTTTTGACTTGCATCTGAAGATTGGACCGGCATCTTATGGTACTGTTTCACATGGTTTTCTCCCTATTTCCCCCCTAAATCATTAGGTAAACCAGTGAATACCGAAAAACAAAACAAAACCGTCCATCTTCATTTCCATAATTGATCAATTTCCGAAAAAAACTAGTCACTTTTAGTTTTCCCTCTAGCCGCTAAACATCCCTCTCTTAGGAGAGAATTCTTACCTCTAATTAGTTTTATTCAAACAGTTTTCCACACAAAAAAATCGGCGATTTCTCATTAAATAGTAAGGAGATATTCTTCAAAAAGTTTCCCAATTTGAGGGTCATTTTTCGGGCAAAGGACACTTTTGATCTAATCTTCCATCCCAGTCACTTTTTCCCTCATCTGTCGCCGCGATGACCGAGATTTAGGTATTCTAGAACTCACATCCAGTGACCCTTTTTTTTTGGAAATGAGACTCTAGATGAAGAGATCAAATTGATTTTCCTGTTGCTCAATGAAAATTTGACCTTTGGATCTCATTGAGACTACTATGCATGTTCCTTCCGATTTCTGCAAGTATTCTTTGTGCAGCTGTCTACCCTTCCTGTTCAAGTTGTGCACTTTCTCTTCTAATTTTTTTTGCTGCAAAAGGGAAAATACACACAAAAAAGTGTGGGGATACCATGGACGAAGAGCGCAATACAGGGGCAGCTGCTTTTCTTTAGTTTTGCAGCTGAAAAGTGTCGACCGATTCATGTGCGGATACTTCTTTTCTGTATGTACATGTGGAGATTCGTTCTTCGATCGTAAATTCAAGAACTTTAAAGAAGCAACCTAATTCCAGTTTTGACCTACGCATAATGTTTTCTCTGCTTATTGTGGTTGTTTGCAATGAATCTCATACTCCTCTAAAGAAGAAGAACATGTCGAATTTGTTCCTGTTTCATATCAATGAATAGAGCAACCTCGTATGTACAATACTATTGTATTCATATTACAAACAGTCCCTTCTCCTATTTTCTGTTTCTTTTTCTCTTTTCTCCCCTCCGGAAAGATGCCGTCCATGACCTATTTGTTTAGCTGCAAGTGAGAATAGAGCACTGTCAAATTTCGGAAAAAGCATATACGCACGGCTACTTTCGGACAATCTCTTTTCACCCGGAGCCGTCTCTGAAATCTGACTAGAATTCTGAATAACCCGGTCAACCAGGTCAAGTGTCAAGCGAGCGCACATTCCCTCTCTTACAAAAGTCAGCGCTTTGAATTTTTCTCTCAAGCTCTCTCTTTTTGCCTTTTGCGCCTTTTTGCGCTTTTCTCTTCGTTTATATCCATTTTCTCTTGATCGTAAAATAGAAAAACACTAAAATTTCGTTTTTCTTTGTAAAACTGTTCGAAAAAAGCTTTGTTTTTGATACTCTGCTTTCTTCCTCCCTAGCGTTCCTTCCTAGATCGAAAGTTTGTTTTTTATCCGTTTCTATGTTTGTAGTTTTTACTTTTTATTCGAAAAATAATCTTTGTGTTCTCACGTACACGGTTAACTATATAACAGATTTCGACCTAATTTTTTCTTGCTAGAAGGTGTTAGCTCGATTCAAATGCTCCTTCTACTTGCCACGTCCCCGGGCCACGCCGATTCTCTTGTTTTCTTCATTAGCTTTAGTCGTAACCTTGATTCAGCAATAATTTTTGCGTAAGTCCGTATACGCAAAAATTGATATTGACACACCCGAAACGTTTTGCGCCGCCCATTTGCTCTGAACGTTAGCTCAGCTGTGATCGTGAACAGTCCGTTTTCTCCTCAATAATCGATTTTTTAAAGCCAAATTTGCAATTCGTTTCGAAGCAAAATGATGATGGATGATGATTGGAACACAACGGGACCACTCGAAAAGGACATATTCATTTCAGAGATTCACAACACCGACAGAGAAACGATTGATGTAAGTTTTCTCTCAAGCATGCTCGTTGGCAAAATTTTTCATGTAGAGCATCATAAATATCAGTACTTTTTTTCCAGATTCTGAAGCTCTTCGACAACGACGATGGTTTCTCCGATGAGCCTATCCGTATCAAAATGGAGCCAACTGATGAAACTTCCGGTGAGATTTTTCTCGGTTAATTATCAGCAGTTCTAACTCAAAATTCTGCGTTCGTGCTAGAGAATCTGAAGAATTTCAGTTTAATTTAATTTATGATCACAATTTTGATAGAAATTGATAAAGATTATGCTGCCTAACGTCAAACTACAGTTAAGTTCAGTTCCGTTTCTCGGCACACAGGTTTCAGCACAATGAAAGGCTGAAAATTGAATTTATAAATTGAAACTGAAAAGGAAATAAACAAGTGCTAAATAATCTTTGCACTTACCCAAAAAAAAAAGAGTCGAAGATACAAACCACGCCTCCTCTCCTTTTTTAGTAGGTTGGTGCTGATGTTGAAAGAATTGATAGCGTCATTGGGTGAAGAAAAATCACTAACAAAGAAGCAGAAGCAAACCGACAGTAATCTGATGAAAGTCTGATATCGGTGAAAGGTCTGGAAGCAAAAACTGCGAGAACTGAAACCATCGAGTACTAGTTAAACTGAAGGCTAAAAATGTGCCTCCAATGTAGAAAATAAGAGCTTGACTGTTCAAAATGCGAATAAAGTCGAGGAGTTAGATCTTCCGCAGATTCACGCCTTAGTAATTTCATGATGCTCCTTCAGTAGTTCTGTAATTCAGGTCAAAATGTTTTCCAATACTACCGTACTTATTCTGTGCAAGATTCTTTGTTTCAATATTTTCACAGAATACGTGAAATTTTCCAACGATCTGACTGCTCTTGCCACACATATCAAACATCAATGGCAACATCGTATATTCACTGTTTCAATCCAAAACCGTCGTCGACGACAACATCTCGTTATCAGCTCTTTTTCTCTCGTTTTACGACCGCCATCAAGTATCGATAAAGTGCCTTTTCGGTGTCATGTTTTTTCTCCTTAAAATGACGAAGAAGGTGTGACTGGTTAGAGTTTCGATTCCATCCATCGCCATGTTTGCTCTAAATTCAATATCCACATCACTTTCAATAATCAAAATCGAAAGGAGCCTTGAAAATGACTAACATCTGTTTTTGCTTTCAGGCACTGTAAACTGTGTTATCAGTTTTGTCTCTCCGAAACTTGTGCTCTCATCTATGACTTCTCAAACTGCGCTCCAACTATCTCGTTTATCAAATTAGCGTCCCCCCATCTCTCTGTATCTTTTCTCTCTTATTGAGTTGCTGCCGCCTGCCCACCTGCCAGTGGGCTAGGAAATAGAAACACGAATAAGGAGAACAGTATCAAAAACTATTTCTATCTCCATCCTGACAACTCCCGCCAGATTTCTGTACATATTGTACCTATTACTGTAACTATGGATATGTCTTCTTGTTCGTCGATGCCAATGCCAGTTCCCAGACAAATGCATCCACTGCATATGGGAATGCCCAACAACTGTGATATGATGCACCCCATGCATAACTACCCAATGAAATGGGAACCTTGTACTCCGCCCGATGAGAAACCACCAGCATCTATGCTGTTTCCTCCTCTTCCTGCAATGTTCAACCAGTCACGACATAGTAGTAATGGAGAAGGTAGGCATCTTAACTTTTATTACTCTTATTCCTTTCTGTGCTTTTGAACCATAGCTTTCATCACTTTCCTTTTTATGACTACCTAAATATAAAAGCCTCGTTATCAGTGTGTGCCATCACCAGTTTGGAAAGTACAGAAGAACATAAGAAAACTCGTTAATTCTTTGAATGGTCTGAGTATATGAGTTCTTTCCTGTCTTCGGAACATACTGTAAAACCTGTAATAGAAGGGCTTCTAACTTTCAACTTCAAGCCAATTTTTCTCGATTCCTGTCGAAGATATAAAAAAACTATCAACTGAAAAATTGTTCATCATAATAGCAGAAGTGCTTTGTTAGTTGACGAAATTTTATAATCCTTAAATTACAGGTTTTACAGTATATCACTCTGAATTTTAGTCTTGCTCGGCTTCGCTAAAAACTACGATATGATACTGTTTTAAACGAGTTTTGTAACTTCTATGATTACGATACGAAATCGGGACTGATAAGATTCTAAGTCCAAGTTGCTGCAACTTCAATTGTTTCTCTCCGCTCCCCCACGTGGGAGCAATGTAGTTCTTCTATGACGTACTGGTCTTTACTGGAAACTAGTTAACCCTACTGCCGTCGCTGAAAGTGGATTCTCATCTTACAGCTGCCCCAGTACAGCACTTTGTCATACAATTAAGTATGGCGTTTCCCGGAACAAAAAGAATAATCATATCATGAAACAAGAGCGCCTCGTGTACAGGTCATTGACGTAAATGCAATTTATGACCCACTTTTTTCGTCTTTTTTTTCACATCGAAACATTTGTTTACTTATCAAAAAAAGAATGAGTTGAGTGATAATGCTATTTAGCAAGTTATCAAAAAGTGAAAGGTAGCTGGTTGTACAACTCTGAAATGTTTCAAAAATGGAACAAAGAGTGATAGAATATTTATAGATTAAAAGGAATTGGGAGTGAGCAGAGCGAAAAAAACTCGTAATAAATGTTTGCCAGGACAAGGTTTCTTCGCTGATAAGATATGGAAGTCAGAAGCCGAATTAAAATGTTGATCACCGAAATTTTAGGAAAAATTACGGTGTGTTGCATTAAGTCTGCAAACACGCAGGCGACAGTTTTATAATTCTGACAAGACAAGTAAAAATCTGACTTGGAACAATGAATTATTAGCAACCAAATCATACAGCTTCATTTATAAAAACTTCAGACTATCATGGGTCGTCTTCCGGCAGCCCGTCGTCTTCACTCTCTTCTCCAAATGAGTTCAAAGATGAGCCACTTGGACTCGATATCAATTTCGGAAGCTCTCTTTTCAATGCACCGTTCAGTCCATCAGCCACATCGTCGCAGTGAGTTTATACACGTTTGCTTTTCCACGTGAACTTCTTGAATTTTTTTGCTTAAAAACGTGAAAATTCTCGGTGCGTGAAACTAGGTCACCGTGTCACGCCGGCCACCCACGTTGAGTTGCTATAGTTCATTGCAACGTGGCTTTCACTTTTGTATTTTTTTTTCATTTCTGATTTGCCTAAACACGGAGTTTAACCAATATTATTTGTGATTCATTGATCGTTTTTGAGCTTTCGAATATCAATGTATCACTATCACCTTTTGGAGAGAGCCAATTCGTTGAGTATTTTCTTATGTCTCTAATTTTTATTGTTCTTTTATGATTTAAAGCTACGAAATTGAATTCTTAACTAAATTTTAAATTGTATTGCGGTTGTCAAAACAGTTTTATCGTTTGTAAGCATGTTTCAGCAGTCCATCTTTCGGAATGATGAACAGTGGTCACTCAATGGCTCCGCAGCAGCACTCTCCGCTTCCATCAGTCGCCCATTTTTCGCACACCCATCACAACCATCTTCATCATCATGTGATCCAGCACCATTCTCAGCAAAACCTGCAAATGGGCATGAACCCAGTGTTCCCCAAGCATGAACCCAGTTATCACAGTCCCCAATACGTCTCAAGTGTTCCGCATAATTTCCTATTCAAGGATGCAGGCATCTACGAGGGAATGGGTATGTTTTTTTAGTTAAAAGTTGGTCTGTGATTAAAAAAATTATCTCCTATCACATTGGTTCTTCAATTAGAATCAGCGTTAATTGTCGAGAAGTGCGGGTCCGTACCGATCGGTGAGATTTAAGAAAGGCGAGAAACAAAAGTGATAACTGCGATCTTGGCCGTTGTTTGAAATCTGAAATTATCTTCAGCTCATTCTATTTATTCAGCAATTTTAACACGTTCTCACTTATCGCTTTTCACAGGCTCATTCACTTGCCTTTTAAATCATACCGGTCGGTTACTGTCTCAAAGATGCCGACCCAAATTTTTTTTTCAAAAATCCAAACTTGTCCTCGTGGACTACACTAATTGCTTGCGAAAGTTGTTTCAAAGTTTCTTTCCGCCAGGGAGAGTAATTTTCAATTTTAACCTAAAATTTTAGGCCTTTATTTCGAAAAAATCATTTTTAGTTTTCCAATTCCCGAAAAACTTAGTTTTTCTTCTTTTTTATAGCTTCCATCAATTTATAAAGCACATTCCTGGGCATTTCTTTCCATTCCGTCCCAATTATTTCCTTCCACGTCATAATAAGATGACGTAAACGCATTCACCTCTTGTTTCTCGATCCGGTTTTTTGCCACGTCATCAACGCCTTTTATGTGTTGCCTAGAACGTTAGATTTTATTATATTTTTGGTGGAACGTTAGATTTTATTTCAGACAACATTGATACTCAAAATTTTGTAATTTCGTGATGTATTCTGAAATTTCAGTGCAATTTGCTAAAGATCTCTCGCAAGTTTAACGTTTGTCAATTTTTTACAAGAAGAAATACGCTCCCCCCGCTATATTGCTCAGTGTCTTTTGAACCATCTCCGAAGAGATGCGCTTGGTAGATTTGACCAGGAATCCACGTCACATCATCTGTCAAATACAATTGGCTTCTGTGAATATGCTGGTTGCTGCTCTGTGGCAGTGTCTTTCGGCGGTTACCCCCGGAACGGGTGAGTGGTTGTGCGCATGTTGCGCGTGTAGACAAGAAAATAAGAAGAATACGTCGAAAACTGCCACGTCACTTGTCCATCGTCTGAACTTCCTTTGTGAAGTCGTCGTGTCGTCAACTTGTTCCTATGCGAATTTCTTCTTTCTTGCTGAAATAGGAAGTCAAGGCGGACACAGATGGCCGCCAGTGTCTTTGCAAAGTTTTCTCATGTCTGGATTGTTTTCTGTTTGTTTCATGATTCTTGTGTGAATCAAAGAGGAAAAAAGTCAACAAGACCTGCCACGTCAGAACGAAAGCAAGAATATCCTAAAGGTTGAGATGTCAGTCTGAAAACGGGGGGCTTCAATGCGACACGCGCATGCACACACACACTCAAGTAGTGCTGATGATGCTTCACATTTTGCCACGTCATGTGACACGCGTCTGTGTCTTATCTATTCTTTACGTCTCTTCCACTCACATCATCTTTTCCCCTACTCCTGACTTCATTCTTCTGCTTTCGCCTCAGACTCCTCTTCATTTTTTCTCTTCTACCACCGTTACCATTTCATCGACTTCATTTCCACTCTTGAAAGTGGAAACTAATCTGATTTTGCTATTTTATCCGTTTTCTAACTTTTTTTAAAATTAGAATTGTGCGATTTGCAACTGCAAACTTTCTCACGGACAATTTCGTTTTTCTAAAAAAAAATAGTGACGTGACATTTGACACACATAGATCCTCCTAGAATGAGAGAAAGCCAAAAAATATTTTTTCTATTGAAACCATCCTGCACGTCATCCATTTCAACGTTTTTTTTTGTGAAATTTTCCCTATGAATTTTTTTGAAAATTTTATGACGTGGAAATTTAAAGTTATTTTTGGGAAATTTTTTGATGAAGGCTATTGAGAATTTTGTTTGGATATATTTTTACAACTCCGTGACCAACCGCTTCCGTCGTCTTCGCCTCGTCGTTTCCCAGAGCCATTGGGCCCTAATGGCCAACGAGGGGAAAATAGGGAAATAGGCACGAGAAAATGTGGAAGCAAGAAAGAAGAAGAAGACAGACACGTCCCCATCTATTTTCTCTCCTCTGACTTCTCTGACGTGGCAAAGTGTGTATATACGGCGAGGAGGCCACTCTCAGAGTCTCTCTTTTTTCTCACTGTTTCGTGGGTCTTTTCGGCGTCTCGGAGGTTTCGCGTGTTCAATGCCGATCCCTAGCCCTCTAATCGGTCGGTCCTCCTCATCTGCCACGTTGCGATTTCTGAGTCTCTTGGTTGTCCATGCTCTTTTTTGAGGGTCGTTGATCGAAAAACCCTCTCCTTGTTCCAATGGCCTCTTTTTTGCCTCTTTTGTGTGTCCTCTCCCGATCCATTTACCCTCTGGGCCCTTTTTGGTACGTAGTCTTTCCACGTCACCATCATGATCAGAAGATAATCACAACCGTCTGCACATAGTCTCATTTGATGTAGATCTGCCTAAAAAATTGATACACATTAGGATTTTCCCTTCGCACATTCGAATTTTGATCACACTTATCACGTCGATAGTTTGTTCACAACTGCTCGATCTTCTAGGTGATTCTTCTTCATACGTGTCACCTGTCATCACCACATTACTTACCACAGTTCTCAATCTTTTCTCTTTTCCGTCATATGTAACCGAAAACCTGAAATATACTGTAGAGCTGAAAAAGCGATGGCGACCCGTTGTACCGCCAACGTTTTCATCAAAGATGAAATCAAAGAAGAACAACTAGAAGACCATGGAATAGAAATCGACTTAGCAGCTATATTGAAAGCGCGAGGAGAGACGAACTCTCATGATTCGAGTCCTGATGAAGAAGAACAGGACTTGACACTTTCGAGTTCAATGTTTTTAGCTACGGATGGTGATGAAGGCGATGGAGCTGAAGGTAGCAAAGACTTGATGGATGTTGATGATTTGTTATTGTGTACGTATTATATCTGGAAATTCAGAAGTGAAGTTTAAAAGAAATGTTTAAAAAGTTCTCGAACCAATGTGATAGTGAGAATATTTAAAAATTTTTCGACTGAACAATTTGATTATTGAGAAAGTGGAAACAGAAACCATGAGAACCAAAAAAAGCGTTTAGGTGATTTAATTTCTGTTTCCTATTTTTCAATTAGATTGTTCAGTTCTGAAGTTAAACTAAAAATATCATATCTAGAGAGTTTTTTTTCACAACTATCTTTTTTTCTAGGTGGCATGGGATTGGCTGCTGCTCAACAGCAGTTGAAAGCAAGAAATAAGATGCACGAAATGGCACTTCGACAACAACTCATCTCTGATCAGGTTCGATTTTTATCATTTTATCAGTTTAGTTGGTCCAAAGAATTTTGATGTTTCTATTAAAAATGTTTACCTTATTTGTAGAACATGTCATCAAACGGTGATCTGATGTTGTCAGCTGAAGAGCGGAGAACTCTTGTCCAGGAAGGATATCCGATCCCAACGAAGTATCCTCTGTCCAAAAGTGAAGAAGAGTCGCTGAAAATTGTTCGGCGCAAGATCAAGAATAAGGTGAGTTTTTAATTTACAAAAGAATCGGAATATCGAAGAAAAATTTAAACAATTTCCAGCTTTCCGCCCAAGAATCTCGCCGAAAGCGGAAAGAGTACATTGATGCCCTCGAAAGTCGTTTGCACTGTTTCAGTGAAGAAAACAAGGCTCTCAAACGTGAGTTTTCATTACACTATTTTATTGACTGAGTCTCTATTGATTAATTTTTTATTGATTGAGCAGTGATTTTCCGAGTTATTCATAATTAAACATTTTAGAACAAGTCCACCAACTCGAAGCTTCCAACCGAGACCTTCAGCAGAAGTTGCACCAGTACGAAAGCAAAGATAAACTCTAGCTTTCATTATTTGTTTTTTTTTAAATTAATTTTTTTTCCTCTCGCTTCATTCTCTTCAAAACACGAGTATCTCCCCCTTGTTACCCCCTATTCAATTAATATTATCGCACCCCTTAATAAAAATCCAGTGAATCTAGTGTTCCATGTTTTTTAAAATCAACTTTTTATATCAAATGTCGGGGAAGTGAATTATAAAAATGATTGATTTTCGTTTTTATAGTTCATTTTCCCATAGGTGCCCATTTTTTCTCTCAATCCATTCGAGTTGTTCATGTGATATTCTCTTGTAAGCCCCCGCCAAACCCAACACGATGTTTAGCTCTCATTGCCTTGATTCTGTTTTAACCGTTCCCTGTTCCGTCGTCATGTTTCATAAAATGATTCATGTACCATCATTTGCCAGTCATGTACTATATAAATCCTGGGTGTTATTTCAACGTTTTCTTCCAACGAAAACACTGACTCTCTCTCTAATTCATCGGTTTTTTTAGTTTTTTATAAAAATACTTTCTGGGACACTAAAATCACTACCTCTACGCATAATTTTCTTTACCACATTCTATGTCCCCTTATTTATATGTATTTCAACTAGAAATGCTCCCATTCGACTTTCGCTACTCTTCTCCCATCGCATGTTTTATTGGTGTTCACCTACAAGCCCATAGATATAAATTATTGAATTTGGATGTTGTGTAAATTTTCACTAATACAAAAAATGCAAACAGGATTACTGTAAACAGACGAAAATACAAGGAAAAACAAGTGGTTATGGAGTTGCAAACAAAGAAAGGGATCTGACGGAAGATAACGATTCGGAGCTTCAATTGGGATGGGTCCTTTTAGTTCGAAGTGATCTCCCTAGAGCCAATGGAAACTGAACTGGCTTTTCGTTGATTTCTCTGGCTTATATACCCACCGTTCACCAGATCATTGATAAGATAAGAAGGGATAACATAGAAATGATCGACACGCGGAATTATAGATATTTGAATTTTTCAAGTTTTCAAATAAATATTAATTACAGGGTGGCTTATAATTACCGGCGCATGTTTGAACGAGGTTTTCTCACAACTTAAAAGCCCTAAACAGATGAAACTCAACAACATGTTTTTTTGGACGTACAAAATTTATAATCAAAAAGAATTTTCGATTCGGTCATCGTTCGCCTTAGTTACGGCCTGAAGACGTCTTGTGTAGACGTTGATGGTGGCACGGTCAAAACTTTGTCGCATTTCTGAAACAGTCTCTCTTCTAGAGCCTCGAAACTTGAATGGGGTCTTGAGCAGATCTTCTTTTGCAACACTCTAGATGGAATAGTCGAGGGGGTTCAAATCCGGCAAGTAGGCCGGCCATTTGTCCCCCCTGGAAGGTGCGCCTCAAACCACGGCTGGATGAGTTTGTGGGCTGGCGCTCCGTCATGTTGGTGAATCCAATGTTCCCGTCCAAAGTGGCATTTGGTGTGTGGGATCAGAATCTTCATCAAGATTTGGTCAACATACACTTCCTTGGTCATACGGACGTTTTGTTCTATAAAATTTGAAATTTGAGCATATCGCACCAAAAACCGTAATGCTGGCCGGGTGGAAATATCTAGGAATGGGGTTTTCATTCCCAGAAGCTTCCTTGATAACCTTGGCTAACACACAACAACTTTGAGACTTGGATTCGGCTTCAATCGTGAACCACTGCTCGTCAAAGAAAGCGGACCCCAAGTGTTCACCTCGCTGCGTGCCATCCAGCAGAAATTTAGCCTCCTCCAGACGCTATTGCTTATTGCTCCTCGACAAGATGACGTATTCTAGAGTACAATAGCATTTTGGATCAAGCTTTTTTCGGGCTATCTTTTACGCCGGAAACCGCAAGATACCCATATTCATGGCCATTTTTCTGAGCGATTTATGTAAGTTACTCCTGATTTGAACTAGAAAAAACGTCAAAATTCTTTGGAGTTGTCACCGTGGTTTTTCATCCTTTCTCAATGCGTCTAAATAAAGATCCAATCACGGTGAATCCTATGATAACTTCGAAAAACCGCCAAGACTGGCGACAGTCGCATGGTCGACGTTAGGTCTCGCCATTTACCTGAAACTTAACCAATAAAGCTGAAACTTGGCAAACATGTCAATTATGAATCAATAAATAAATTGACAAAATTTGATAACCAAATGCGCGCCATCACCGAAAACCATGGCGCCAAAGTTGTGCGCCGGTAATTAAAAGCCACCCTGTAGGTTATGAATTGTGTGATTTTTGGAATTTTTCAGCTTTTCGGAATTTTTTGGGAATTTTTGAAACTTTTTGGAACTTGGAATTTTCGATATTTTTGAAATTTTTGAGATTCTCGGAATTTTACTGAAACTTGGGTTTTTCGGAATTTTCGAAATTTTTCGGAACTTGGAATTTTTGAATTTTTGATATTTTCGGAATGTCCAAAATTTTGGATATATGGGAATTTTCGCATTACTTGGGGTTTTTGGAATTTTTCGGAATCTTTAAAAATTTTTGGGTTTTTCGGAATATTAGAAATTTCAGGATTTTTAGGAACTTTTTCAAATTTTAGGAGTTTTCCGAATTTTCGATCATTTTCTGGACACCGTTTTGACAATTTCGCTATATTCAGAACTATTCAAATCGATTTCCAGTATTTTGGGAATAAAAGTTTGATTGACATTCTCTGTGAATTGCAAAACGAATCTTTCGAAACTGTTTGTGTTTTGAAACTTCTAGAATATTTACGAAATCACTTGTTTCAACTACAGTTATCGTATTCTAATTCTCCATCGACCCCTTTTATTATTTCTCTGTCCCATCCGGTTTCATTTCAATATTTCTTTCAGTAATCCGCTCCCTTTTCGATGAGTGCTTCCAATCATTGTACTCTGATCGATCTTCATCTATTTTTTGTTTTTTATCCGCCGGGGGTTGTCATTTTAACCCCCAGCACAACTCAGCGACTATATAAACTAAACTAGTAGGATCAGTCTACTAATTTTGAGAGATTTGAGTTTCCTCTTTTTCCCTTTTTTTTTAAATTTTCGACCTATAGTTATAACTTCCTACTTCATCGTTTTTCAGAATGCTTCTTCGATTCGTTGTCCTTTTTATTGTTGCTTTATTGGCTCTTGCCAGTTCATCAGATGCTCCACCACCACCACCACCAAATGGAACTGAAATGGAACCACTATTAGGAAATGGTACAGAACCTGCTGGGCCACCACCACCACCAATGGATGGAATGAATGGTACAGTAGTCCAGGAGAATGGAAATAAAACAGGTTAGCTAGAAAATCATGATTTCAGTAAGAATATTTTTTATTTACAGGAGGAGTTATGGATTGGATCAAATCGAAGCTTGGAAAGTAAAGTGAACTGTACTATTCCCAAATGCAATATGAATTTTTGTTAAATGAAAGAAATAAAACTTTTTTTCTAAAATTATTGACTACAAGACTGGCGACAATCCGGTTATAGAAGTTTGAGATTTGGTTCGAAGATGCTCGACAGATGGTGCTTTTCTCAAAAGAGACTTCTCCGATTTTGGAACATTTCTTCTTTCCCATTTTTGAATTATTGATCTGATTCGTTCTCCTTCTTTCTTTTCCCTCTCCAATTGACGAATTCGAGCATCTTGCTCATTCATTTTTTTCTGAAAAAAATTGAAGAGTTCAACAGAATTTATGCAGGTAAGAACAAACTTTTAAATTGGTCTTTTCTATGTCAGCGGCTCTCAATGTCTCCAGTGTCATCGTTGCTAAAAGATCCTTATTCAACTTATCCATCTTGTCCATGGTTTTCAAAGTATGTCGTTCCTGAAAACTTTTGTACCGTACTGTAACTACTGTAGTAAAAACTACTCTAACACCTTAATAGAGTGCCACTCAAACCGTCCACTTTTAGTCCATATACACTACCGGTCAATAAGATATACAAAAACATATTTTTCAGTTGATTTTCGGTCTTGATCATTTTCAGGAGTGTGGAGCTCGGCTGTCAAGTATCCGATCGCTTTGAAAATATCAGAGGGTCTAAAACAGACCTAGATTGAAAACTTTACATTCACAGAATTTTCGAAAGTTCCTAGTTTTTCAGCTATTTGCCGGTTTCTGAATGATATCTGTTTTTCACCTTTTCGAATACAACAGGGACCAAAAGGGAGTGTCTTTCCGGAATCGGGGGATAGCTGAAAAGCTAGGAATTTTGAAAACAGTTTTGTGAACACACAGTTTTCAATCTAGGTTTGTTTTACACCCTCCAAAATTTTCAAAGTGATCCGACGCTTGACAGCCGAGCTCAAGACTCCTGAAAATAGTCAGAATGACCGAAAACCACTGAAAAATATGTTTTTGTACATCTTATTGACAGGTACTGTATCTCATTCCCTAAAGCTATCAAAAAATGGTCAACTAATAAAATGTTTGTCAGAATAATAGAATAATATAATTAGGGTATATTCACCAGCATTTGAACATTTATTTTGGCTCAGTTGGCGATATGGATGGCACTCTATTAGAGTTTAGATAAACCTTACTTTAAACACTTGGACCGTACCTGAATAATTTTCGCTGCTGTAGCTACAATTGTTGGAGACGTTGGCTGTTTTCTTCCATCTACTCCACCGCTCTTTCCCACTTGAATATCTTTTCGGACACTTTGAAGTCCGCGAAGAAGATTTTCAGACTGAAAACTTGAAAAATTAAATAACAAAATTCAATATAATCTCACAATGAAACGATTATCGTTTACCACAACTCGATACACTGATTCTTGAGCAATCAATTCCTCAATACGGTCGAAAATTACATCGAACACTCCGCCCACATTGACATTTAACAATTGGGATACCTGAATTTTTATATTTCTCGTTCTGGCTAACTTTTATAACTAACTTTTGAAATACAGTTTTCCAAAGTGGCAATTTTGTGTTCTAGATTCTTTCTTTCGAGGTCACTAGCCAGAAGCTCCTGTTCCAACTCTTCAATTTTCTCTGCAGATTTCGAGCACTCTTCTTCTGAAACTCTTGCTCTAAACAGTGCATTTCTCTGTTGCTTCGCCTGCTCCAAAAGCACGCCTTCAGCTGAAGAAGCGGCTTTTTCTGCTTCGAAACGTTTTGTTTGTTCTGTATTTCTCTCTCGAACCAAATCTCGTATCGTTCGTTTAACGTTGTTTTCAGTTGGTTCAACATCAGAATTTAGAAGAACACTCAAAGTTTCCAGGAAACTTTTTCTCTCTGTTTCTGCAGATTTTAGAAGAATTATATTATTTTTATTCGAAGTTGACATCTCCTGAGAATATGAACGAAGGCATCTGATCTCTGCTTTCAACATCTCCAACTCCATTTTCTGTTCGTTTATGGTAGAAGTCAAAAGAGCAACATCATGATTGATACGGCTTTCATGATCTTGGCGGATTTCAATTTCCTAGAAACAAAAATAGAAGTTCAGGAGAAAATTTAGAATATGTTTACTTTTCTGCATATTCCATGAATCTCCCTGCTTTGTTCCTTATTCGTTTCCAAGTGATCCATCAATGTGGATACGTGGTTTTGATTCAGAGTGAGGCTGGATGATAACTGAAATTTCGATGTTAAAGTCAAGAAATTATAAAGGCCAGCTTGCCTGTTGCAACTTTTCCTTCAACTTTATGTTTTCTTGTTCTAGTTTCGAACATTTCTTTTTATAATTCAGCATCTCTTTCTCCAAGAAATCGAAATTCCCAACACTTGAATAATTCTCCATTTTTGACAAATCTTCTTGGTCAATATCAAATGCAGAAACAATTTTTTGTTGAAACGTCTTCTGGGAACTTTCAACGTCATCCAATTTCTGTTGAAGCTTTGTCAACTCTTCTACCAACTGCTTATTCTGAATCTCCGATTCCTGACTTTTAACCTGCCATTCCTCTTTTGCTTGAACATTTTCCGCTAGTTCCAACTCCAGCTCAGGAAGTCGTCTCGAGTTTTTTGTTGCCCGATCTTTCCATTTTTCCGCTTCTGCTTCAATTTCCTTTCTCGCTTTTTCGTTTGCTTTCAGTCGCCGCTCCAAACTTTCTAATTTCACTTTTGTCTGTCTTTCTGTTCGATTCTCTCGAATTGTGTAAGTTGCTGCCACCTGAATGAATAACTGATGTTTGAGTAAAAACTAAAAAAAAAACAAACCGAATCAGGAGACCGAAGATCTTCTCGTGACAAATCATGACCTCCAATGTTGCGATTAAGAGGGGAAGTTCGCGGACGGAGAGACTGAAAATGTGGTGTTGCGGAGTTCGATAAAATCAACTTAGCAATTTACCTGTGTGATTTTATTGCCTCGAATATTCAAAGTCGATGTCACTAGTGCTTCAGAAGACAAGTCCAGCTGATGAACAGATTCCGAATTTGGATTTGATCCTGTAAATGTGTCAGTTATTGGGCTAAATCCGAACAAAAAGCTAACCAGTTTCTTCTTTATCGCCTTCTGCAACTACATTTTCAGAATCTCTTAATTCTTCCGATGGAGCCATTTGCCTATTTTTATTATGTCACAGAAATAAGGATGTCCGAATACAAGTATGAGGTAAGAATGAGTCAACGCAACTTCTACGCAATGACCCATTTCATAATTGAGTGCGAACGAGAGGAAATGAGTTGTGGGAAAGGGAACAGGAAGTATGGGTTTTCGGATTTATGTGAAACTTTTGAGAAATTTGAATAAAATTCGTATATAATTCGGAACTGCTACAGAAATACAATATAATATGATATTATTCATTTTAAAGGTTAAAATAGTTTCCAGAAGTTCAAATGGACCTGAATCCTGTGAATACATATCCCGTAGAACTTTGGTTATTCTGAAAAAAAGAAATTGAAAATCAAAGAGAGATGAAAATACAGAAACTTTTGAGATTTCCACTTCTTTTTCCATTTTTTGTTCTTTCCCTCCCATTTTGTAACTGATTGTAATCAACGCCTGAATAGATGTTTTTGTAGCAGTTGGTTCAAAAATTGTGAATACCTGAAAGAAAATTCAAGCTCTTTTGTTCAAAAACTAAAAAATCAAAATCTCACTTTCAAACTATCTTTGAATTCCGAGTCACCCAGTGATGCAAAAACATTGTTTGGAAATAGAACTGCAAATAAAAGTTGAATTACTTCAAAATCCCAATTGATTAGCTACAATTTGGATGGAAAATGGTATCCATGTTCACCAGATTCTCATCGAAAAGTTTCTGGAATTGGAACACTTTCATGCTAATCAGAAATTCTTTAAGGGCATTCAGTTGAAGGTGGACGATTCTGAAATTTAATAATCGAAAAAAAAATAATTATTATTTGAATATTACTGAGAATTGGATAGATTGTGAGATTCTCCAGAGTTCACTAGGTGAAAAATGAATATACAACAAACAAAAACAAGAAGCATCTTGTGACGGAATACCATTTTTTTTAACTGTTTGAGGAACAAACGGTTTTATGAAACATTTTATAGTTTCAGTTTTTCAGATATTTTCAAAAAAATGAATGGCTGACATGTTTATACTTAAGATTTCCCAATCTTTTGGTCATCCGAAAATTTTTTCAGAATTTTTGGGATTTTCGAATCCGCAGAAAACCTTTCGTTTTCCTCAAAAAAATTTCTGATTTCAAAATTAAAAAAATTGTCAATTCAGAAAGCTCAGAACTTCCGATTTTGAAAATTTCGGAATATGAGTTTTTCCACTCTCAAAAAATTATATGTTTTCTGTTTTTGAGTATTCAGAAATTTTCAGAACTTTAAAACTTCTGATTTTTTTGAAATTTCATGAAATTTTCAATTTTTCAAAATTTTGGAACTTTAAAATTCCTAACTTCAGCTATGTTCTTCAGTCCTCTGGGAATTTCGAACTCATTAGAATGTATGAACAAAAGTCTCCCACGAATTCAAGCATTCGCAGAAATTGAAAAATTCCCGACTTCAAAATCTCCCTCTCAAATTCTTGTCCAGTTTCAGACTCCCTCAAAAACACAAAAAATTTCCGTCCACCGGAAAATAACTAATTAGTGTGTTGTCTCTCAGCTGATCACATCTTATTAGTTTTCCTGTTTGTCACTGAACAACTGGAGCACGATATGTATATTCCAGTCGAAAACACACTCAACATTTTGTGCATACATCTTCTTGTTACTTGTTTGAATTGAAACATCAGATGAACTTTCAGACATTTCAAAACTCCCTCTAGTTTTTTTTTTCAATTTCTGTACTTCAAATCAATCCATACAATGAATCAAACAGCTAACACGTTCACAATAAATGAGACCAAATGTTACTTGGCATCTGAAGTCACTTATCATCCTTTCTATCGTTTTGCACAATTCTGGACATTTTTTGTCTCGTTACTTGCTATTCCGACACTCTTATATTTTTTGGTGAAGAAAATATGTGTTCTTCGATTCCATGGAAACATCAAATTCATGCTGATCTGCTATTTCTTTTCGTCTTTTTTATTTGCAGCGGTAGTAATGCTGGACTTTGTAAGTTTTGAATTCTAGAAACTTTCAGAAAATGCAAAAAGAATTTTTTCAGGGATACCACTTTTTTATTCCATTTTTCGTTTCCTCAAAATGTCAATTGATACTTGACTCAACTCTTTTCAAAACTGGACATCTAACAATGACTTTGTTTATGACAATACCAATGTTACTACCTATCGGATTCTCGATTGAAAGATTTGTTGCACTTGGAATGGCTCGAAGTTATGAAAACGTCCGAACTCTACTAGGTCCTGTGCTCGTTGCAGTTTTGGTAAGCCGTTGTGGTTTGAATATCCTCAAAGTATTATTACAGATATTATCAGATGTGAACCTCATTTACAATGTATTTAAAAACGAAAAATTCGATGATCCGTTCATTTCGTTCATATTGATCCCAGCCACTTCAGCTGCCCAGTTCAACAACTTTTTTTGGTTTCTTCTTCATGTCGAAATCACGAATTTCTTCTGCAACTGTATTCTATTGTTAGTTCATAGTCGCCTGAAAAACAAGTAAGTGTTTCTTTCTAAACTTCAGAAATTATAAAACCTCCATAGAATTCAGTTTCAGATTCCTCCGCCAGAGAAGAACATTGTCTGTTAGATACGAATTGGAAGAAATCTCCCAATCATCGCAGTTTACTCTGATTGTTAGTTTCACTCATCTATTGTTCGTTGGCTGGTATCTTATCGCTATAATATATGTTCGTACCGTTGGGCAGGACTTTTTTGGTGGATACGTGCCGTATACAGTGGCGAGAGGAGTCTATTGTGCAGTGCCCACCTACAATCTTATCATAGTTTTTGTTGGAATCAAATCCCTTCGAATGATGAATCTGCGTAGACAAAACAAAGTGCAGTCAACAGTCCAAATGAAGACAACAGGGACAGAAGGTGCCAAAAACTACGAAATAGCTATTTCGACTTATTGGAGTTCGGTTTCTAGTGGTATAAATGCAGTTAATGCTTAATTGCTTTTTCTTCTTTCAATAAACAATTTATCTGAAATCTGAGGCCATATTCATGAACATTTTCCTTGGAGAACCATTTTCCTTTCAAAAATCAACTGGATTATTTTCCAGAAGGACTAGCGTCCTCGGCCTACGGCCGACTCCGCTAGGCGCGGCTATGCCGCGCAATTAGGTGGAATCAGATGCAGGGCCTTCGGCCCTGGCTCAGTGGAATCAGTTGATTCATATTTTAGTCTGTTCTCCCTCCTCCGCTCGCTCAGGTCGCTCCGCTCGCTCAGGTCGAACATACCGGACAGGATCTTCGGCCCTGTAACATATGCCCCAAAACAATTCATTAATTTTTCACTCAAAACCTATTAACTCTTTTAATTTTCAAGCAAATCCAGTTTTCTTTTTTTTAACTGTAGCTATCAAAATTACGCATCGAATGGGAAAGCCGGATTTTTGATTTAGGCCCTAGTTCGGCAGAAAAAACAGGAAACCCCGAAAAAAATGGTATCCACTTGTACATTCGTTATCATATCTCGGTTCAAACAGTACAACTTCTGACGATTTTCAGTGACCGCGTAGCCAGAGAGATTTGCTATCGATCAAAAAAAGATTTGGCCAAAACGGACTGAAATGAACCTAGTTAGGAGCTTTCAAAGAAAATTTCTACAAAATGTCAAAAATGGGGGTGCGCGATCGCTACGGTATTTAAGGGAAGAAGGGGCGGAAAATGGAAGCGTGAAAATGTATTGCACACTATTCAAATGATTTTCCGATTCTCAGGATCAGAAAATGACTTTTGAACTAAATTTTCTCAAAAACTATGGACTGAAAATGTATCATATTTGGTCACAGTACTTAAAATTCCTAGCTCTATCCATTCATGTCATTTGTGTCAAAAAGCATAGTTTTTATGTTGAAAAATAGCAATTCTTGGGTTTAAAATTGGATAATAATGCACTTGATATACTATTCTATCAACATACAACTTTTTTAGCATCCAAAAACTCATAAAATTGACTGTAAACATAAGTCGAGATTAGTAAACCTATTTCATGAAAATATAAAGATTTTCCAAAAAGAAAACAAATTTCTTTCAATTTTCACGCCTTTTCAGTTGATCTTTGGAGAGAAATCGACTTTCCAAGGAAAATGTTCATGAATATGGCCTCTGTTCATGTCTATATTCTCACTCACAATCAGACAAGAATGAAGTTCCTGCCGCCCCCCCCCCCCCCGAAAGAACTTCATTCTTGTTTGAGCAGGACTTCATTCTTGTTTGAGCAGATTCAGAAGTTCTCAGGTTGTAATAATTTACTTCGCAGGGCCATAATTTATTAATTGCTCCGTCATAAAACCACCTGAGATTTTCTCCCTGTTTCAGAAATGCTCTTCACATCATCAATATCATGCTCATGTAAACCTCCCCCAAACAAGTTGCACGTGAAGGGGTTCTTCCCACCTTATCTGCCTTCCTATCTCCCCGCCTTCTAGATGCACCTTAAAACCACTTGCTATTGCATCGTGTTTCACTTCCATTTCATTCTATCATTTTTTGATGGATCTTGACTCATTTCCAATTCATTTCATTGAATAATATTTCTCGTCCAGATCCACCATGTTGCATCCATGCCTTGCTTGTCCAAAGACCTTCATCAACCATCAGGACTACCACAACCACTCGAAAACTCATCAAACTCCATTCAAATGCCCCGAATGCTCCAAAACATTCTCGTATCGTGCGACTCTGAAAAAGCACTTGCTTATTCATACAAACGAGAAAAACTTTGTTTGTAAGGTCTGCTACAAGGCGATGAACCGAAAGGAGAATATGAAGGTTAGTGAACTTACTCAATTACCGTAAAACCCGTATTAGAAGGGCCGACCATTTATTAGAAGGGCCGATCCTTTTATTGTTTCAAGGTACCTCTGGAGGGCCCTTTTATTACAGGGGCTTTTCAATTATAGAGGGCCCTTTTTTCCGGCCATTTTTTTCAAAAAAAAACTTTTGGTTGAAAGGTTCAGTGAATTCTCATTGAAAATTCATGATAAACCTAACAATTTCATCAAAATTGAACGAGTTTTTAAGCAAAATTGTGCGATTTCCGGAATATTCTCCACTGAAAACGTATGGAAATATTCATTTTCGAACAACGCACTCAAAATTTGACGGGTGTCCTTCTATTTTTCCATATAGGAGGGCCCTTCTAATAAGAGGGCCCTTCTATTAAAGGAACCTTTCTAATACAGGTTTTAGGGTAACCTAAATTTTCCTGTTTTCAGAGGCACTACGAAACAGTTCACAAACTGAAGGAAAGAGAGTTCGAATTGGAAAACACCGCAGATCTCCAAAAGTTTTTCCGTGAGCAATTGAAAAGAGCCATGGGAAACTTGGCTCCCGTTGCTCCCACTGTGAAGGTAGAAAAACCAAAATTCGACTTCAGACGTCTTGGTGAAACTCACGAACTTGTAATATACAGTATAATGAAGACTTATACTTCATTATAAATTTTCAGCCATCTCCAACCACCGTAGCTCGTCAAACTGCTAAATCAAATGGGTTCGAGAACAAGGTCCGCATCGTTCCATATCGTTTTTAAACCTTCATGAACTCAAGGGAATATTCCATTGTTACTCAAATCTAATTTCAACACTCGTTGCGCCCAAAAAATTTATTAATTATTTTCTGACCAATTTTTTTTCGATTTTCTATTAATATCATTTCATGGTTCTCATGCTATTTCCATGAGTTTTGTAAAAAGTTCAAAATCGATGAAATTTATCGAAAATCGAAAAAATAGGCCAGAAAATAGTTACGAAAGAAGTTCACCAACTAAGCTCCACACACCCTCGAATTTTCGACCGCAGCCGGACTACCCCTACACCTGAAACTTCTAAATTTACCCGCCTGATTACTGATCGTGAGAATCTGGACCTTCACTGATCTCTTGGATCAAAAAGTATGTTGTACGAATAAGACATGGTTGAAACTCTCCCGTGAATAATCACGTACTTCAATGATTATGATCTCCTTTTTTTTCTTTTCCCCTCTGTTTTTTCCCATATGTAGTTCACTTCCTTGTTTTCATTCTTACAAATTTTCTGTCTGGTACAACCAACGATGTTTAATATCAGCTAAATGAATTTTTCCTGCTTTTTTATTCATGTGTGATGCAATAGACATGATTAACTGAAAATCCGAAATTTCCCACGATCACCTCGATAAGTCAAAAAACTTTCACAGGAATCGCTCGAGCAAATCCTTCTTCCTTTCCTCACGATTTCCGAATTTCATCATTCAGTGAAATATCTTTTAGGTACTTCTTCTTCATCTGTGATCTTATTTTGAATGTTGGATTCAAATCGATCAGAATGCGAACTAGCCTATCAAATGAATTTTCATCCGTTGTACCGAGTCGCTCAGTTCTGGTCTTTTTCAGTTTCAGTTCTTGCAGTTCCTTCGTTAGTATGGTTTTTGCTAGGAAAAGTTATGTATCTCCATTTCCATGGAAATTTGAAATTCTTACTTATTTCTTATTTCCTGAGTCTTTTGTGTTTTTCTTGTGCAATGTGTTTCGGATTTGTAAGTTTTAACGTACAGGGTGGTGCACAATTACCAGGACTGATAAATACGGGTATATCTTTACCCATATCTCAGAAGCACGAGCAATGGTAGAAACATAATTCTATGTTTGGTTCAAAGCTTCTGAAATTTTCGAAGCGATTTCTCCAGTCTAGGTATTGTTATGATTTCCGAAGATGAAATGTTTCTTGCCTGCCGTTGTGATTTTCATGAGGTAATTCAACTTTGACAGGCGATAACTCAGCTCACAGTCGATCCAACCATTTGAAACTTGTTCAGTTGACTGGTGAGGCATTAAAGTTCTCACACTATAAAAATGAGCCCAGATCAAAGTTTTACTCAACTTTTATGCTAGTACAAATTTGAGTCCGGGTAATTATGCATCACCCTGTAAAGAGGAATAAAATGTAGTTCCAACAGTTTTCAGGGATATCACACTTTTGTTCCATTTTTTGCACCTTCAAAGTGTAGTTTGATGATAGATCCTATTTTGTTTAAATGGTGTCATACGTTTGCGATGAGTCTTTTGACCATTTCAATGTTACTCCCGATAGGGTTCTCAATTGAACGATTTATCGCTTTGTTGATGGCAGAGAAGTATGAAAATGCACGCACTTTTATAGGTCCAATTCTCGTTACAGTTTTGGTAAGTTCACAATTCGGAATAATAATTCCGTACAAACTGTAATAGAAAGGCCCCCTAACTTTTTTTTTTACTTTGAGTCAAATTTTTTTGGTTCCTGTCAAAGATATAAAAAATTCCCAGGAGGGGGCTTTCTACATTCTACAGGTTTTACGGTATATTGATTTGAAGATTGCGTTGGACTTGACCATTGTTAAATTCGTTTATCAAAATGAAAAGTTCTCTGATACCTTCTTGTCATTTGTTTTGACTCCAACAGCCTCTGCATCACAAGTCAACATCTATTTTTCTTCTCTGCTCGCTGTAAAACTTTTCAATTTAGTCTGTAATTGTATTCTTATCAAAATACATATGAGGATCAAAAAAAGGTTCAGGAATTTCATTTGGAGCCTTCTTCAACTTTGAATTTCAGATACTACCGACGCACGCATTCTCTATCACTTCGTTATGAATTGGAAGAAATAGTACAATCTTCAAAATTCACACTAATTATCAGTTTTTTTCATTTAGTATTTTTTGGATGGTATCTAACTGTAACAATTACTGTCAGATTTCTTGGCGAATCTTTTCTTGGTGGATTCTTAAATTATACAGTGTTTAGAGGAATGTACTGTACCGTACCGACATACAGTTTGGTTATAGTCTTGGTCGGATTCAAATCATTGCGTCATTTGAATATTCAAAGGCACAACAAAGTGCAGTCGACAGTTCAAATCAAATCAACAGGGAGAGAAGGAGCAACGAACTATGACAATGCAATTTCTAATTATTGGGATTCTGTTTCTCATGGATTAGATAGAATGAATCGTTGAGCTTGTTGATCTTAAAAACACATTACAGCATTAAATGAAGAGCAGCAACCCAAGCGAAAGAATGAACGATCACTATTTTCGATTTTCTAAAAATTCCGTTGTGCACTATTAATTTTTTTTACCTTCCCATGAAATATCATTTTTGAGACAAAAATGAAAATTCTAGAAAATAAAATCATTCCGCCTCACTGCTTTTTGATAATCATTGAAGATTCAAGTACCAAACGTACGAGCTGAAAATAAAGTTGGCTCATTGAACCAACACATAATTCAAATCACACTCTTCAAGGAACGAACTTTCGGGTCTTCTTAAGTTTTCTTCTTATCAGACAGTTGAACTTTTGGTTTTTTTCTGTTTTCCCCGAGCCGAATTTTTTTTGCGTTTGGAAGTGTATCCAACCTGAAAATCTGGGTGCTGGTGTTACATATATTACCCAAAGCTACAGGTATTGATAAGCAAAGAAGATAGTGAAAACTTATTTTTATTTTTCAAATGGTTGAAATAAACCAAACAAAATGCGATCTAGCATTCCAAATTGTGTACCACCCGTTTTATCGACTCTCCCAGTTTTGGACCCTTTCTGTATCGTTATTGGCAGTCCCTTCGCTTTTTTATTTCTTGACGAAAAGAATACTTCTTCTACCATTTCATGGAAATTTGAAGTGCATGTTAACAACATATTTTGTGAGCATCTTTCTTTATGCAATCATGTTATCCTTAGATTTTGTAAGTTGTTTCCAAGCAAGGCTGTGCAAAAAGGCGGCTGGCCGCGGCCTGCCTCAGCCGCAGCTCGATTTTTGAGGCCGAGGCCGGCAGCGGTTTTTTTGTGAAAGCCGTGAAAAGCCGCGGCTAGCCGAGGCCGGCCGAGGATAGCCTCATGAAAACGCGTGAAGTGAAAATCAATTAGTTTTTGAATAATTTCGTTTTTTTGTCATACTTTTCAAAAAAAAATCTACGTTTCTCATGAAACAATTATTTCAAAAGGCCGTGAAATGCCTCCCGGCTAGCCTGGGCCGGCCGCGGCTTCTTCGAATATTTTTTCTGAAGCCGCGGCCTGCTCGGCCGTAGTAAAAGCCCGCCGCGGCTGGCCGCGGCCGGCCGTGGCACAGCCTTGTTTCCAAGTTTCTCGTTTATAATTGAAGTTTACAATCAGCAAAGATTTTTCAGTCATACCACTGCATTGTACCATTTTTCGCAACATCCGGATGCAGTTTGATAATCAATGAAACATTATACAAGTATGGACATATTATATCTTTGTTCCTTTTGACTACTCCAATGCTTCTCCCGATCGGATTCTCAATTGAGAGATTCGTGGCTATTGGAATGGCTTATCAGTATGAAAAAGTCCAAACATTGATTGGACCAATATTGTCATTTGTTCTGGTTTAGTATGTAATAATTTATTGTCGTTCAACTGAATTATTTCAGGTTGCTCCCAACTTCGTAGTCTTCTATTTCATATTTCGAAACGAGGCATTTACTGATGTTTTCATTTCGTTTCTGGCTCTTCCCAACACTTCCGCTCCATCGTTCAACAATTATATATGGTTCCTTGTTTATGCTATGATTGGAAACTTTTTCTGCAACTGTGTTCTTCTGATAGTTCATTTCCGGTTTAAGAAAAGGTGAGGAGAACATTCCAACGAATCTTAAAATACCACTTATAAAAATTCAGATTTCTCCTCGAGAACACAAATTTATCGGTGAGATACGCTATGGAGGAAATATCGCGGTCTTCAAAATTCACATTAATTCTCACCTTCACCCATCTTCTATTCTTTGGGGCGTATACCATAGGCAGTATTTTGGTGCGAACTTTGGGAGAAAACTTTTTTGGAAGCTTTTTGAACTATTCAGTTGCCAGAGGGGTCAATTGTGCAGTTCCAACATACAATTTGTTGATTGCATACATTGGAATTGTATCTTTACGCCATTTGAACGCCAGAAGACAGTCCAAAGTGTTGACGACAGTTAAAATCAGACAGAAGGGACATGAAGGAGCGAAGAATTATGATAACATTATTATGCAGCAATGGGCAACTGTTTCTCCTAAAAGAAATTGAAACACACAATTTATTGTTTCGTTATTTGTTTAATAAAATCTTTCTTATTCGAAATGAACTCAATTATGAGCTCTCGTTCAAGAATCAATGTAACTTGCTTACATTTTTCCTATTAAAGTACATAGGAACGCATTCTTTCTTCAAAATCGAAAAATCAAAACACATAATTGATCTTAAATGTTATGCAGAAATCAAAAGTATAGTTCCCATCGTGAATGAAATGTCATACTTCACACACTTTTTGTATTTTTTTTCATTGTCTAGTGTTCTACTGATTCTTCACAGTTCTCATTGAGTTTCCCGGAAGTAAATTCAGAGAAGCATTATCTGGAAGTTGAATACCTCACAACTTTAGAAATTTTAAAATCAACTTCCTGATTGAATGACCATTCAAAAAACTTGTTATTTGAATATCTTATCATCTTTTCATGTTTAGATCTTCATGGTTTTCGTAGTTTACTCAAAATCGTCTTCATTTTCTTTATGTTGGGTTGATAACCCTACTTTGATGATTACGAGTTTCGTTCCAATTTATGCTTAAAACGAATTGGAAATTGGGATCTGATAAGTCATATCAATCCTCCGCTAATTATTGGCAAGCTAATTGTAAGGCACCGTTGCTCTAAGTAAGGGCACATGTTCCAAAAGTTTGGTTGAGCGGACTTCTTATTTCAAACATCTAATCGCTCGCTATACTAAACATCTTCGTTCTCAAGTTTCCGAATAGAAGAATCTCATAGAAAAAAATCGTAATTGATTCGCACTCACATGACTGCTCAGTCACAGTCTTCCACTCTTTTAAAAAAGTTCTCTTGGTCTGAGTACGTGATCAAGTCATAAAAACTAGTGAGCTTTTGGTCTCCTTCTAAAAATTGATAATATGTAAAGCAGAGATACAAAATCATTCATTCGAAAAAAAGGAGCTGGATGTTATTTCAGGTCAGTGTGTGGCAAATAACGAATTCTAGGCTAATCATCACAGTTGATTACTATGGTTGAGATCAATCTGACACGATGTGAAGTAGCGTTCAACCTGACGTATCAGCCAGTTTATAGATTAGCCCAATTTTATACCTTCTCTGTTTCTTCTATAGCCGCTCCAGCTCTCATTTATCTATTCGTTAAAATACTGTTCCGTCTTCACTTTCATGGAAATTTGAAATCATTACTCATCGCATATTTTATCAGCGTTTTTTTGTATGCATCGATATTATGTTTTGCTTTCGGATATCATTTCTTTTCTCCATTTTTTATCAGCAATCCTTGTGATTTGATAATTTCGAAATCTCTATTCAAATATGGCCATGTTACATTATTATTCCTGCTTACAACACCGATGATGTATGCACTTGCTTTTTCTATCGAACGGTTTATTGCAATTGGAATGGCTAGTCGTTATGAATATACACCTACACGACTTGGACCTATTCTTGCGGTTTTATTGGTGAGTTAATTGAAACTTTATTAAAGTGGGACTCCGATCAAAATTTTTTGCATTAAGATGTTCCCAAAATGAACAAAAAAGTTTGGTGGGTCTCCTCCTTCAAACCGCATCTCTTTTGTGAATGAACATACATATTCAAACATATTTTTAAATTATAGCCTTTTCCCAACTTGTTCATGCTTTATTCAATCTTCAAAGAAGAGAAATTTGATGATATTTTTATTTCATTCCTCATGCTACCCAATACATCTGCACCACAGTTTAATGACTATTTATGGTATCTTCTATATTTGAAAATGGGAAATCTTGTACTCAATGTAGTCCTTCTATTGGTCCACAGACGTTTCAAGGCGAAGTATGTCCAGTTTATTGTGCTATTGTTTTATAATTATTATTCAGGTATCAAATCCAGAAGAGTTCTCTATCGATGAGGTACGCAATGGAAGAAATTTCAAAGTCTTCAAAATTCACATTAATTATCACTTTCACCCATCTTTTATTTTTTGGCACTTACACTGTATGCAGTATTCTTGTTCGAGTTTTGGGCGTACCATTTTTTGGATCTTTTCTGAATCATTATGTTGCAAGAGGCGTTAATTGTGCTATTCCAACTTATAATTTGGTAGTTGTATTTGTTGCATTCACATCGTTGAGACATCTGAATTCAAAACGATCTCTGGAAGTTCAAACAACCGTGCAAATAAGTGCGACTGGATATGAAGGAGCAAAAAACTATGAAGATGCAACTATTAATAGATGGGCGACGATAGCTAGAAAATAAATTTTCTCATTTTATTTTATTTTAACATTTTGAATATAAATTGAAATTAAAAGTTTCTTTATATATATATACATATTTCGGCACAAAATTCGAAAATTTTTCTTTCCTTACACCGTTCTTTTTGAAGTCATTTTTTCCAGACGCCAGATTCAGATTTTTCACGAAAAACACCGGAAAAAGTCACGCGTCTATAGTTCTTCTGACATCTGAAGTAGATTCATATTCTAGATCATTCTGTGTGCATTCTGAGTACGAGACTATATTGAGCTTTTGGTTTTGTGACTTGGTGCAATCTGGTGCAATCTGATTAGGGGGTACGAAATCTTCCAACTGGAAAATTGTCGGGTTCGTGTGTGGTTGTTGTAATAAATATCGTTGGCCCTCACAAGGCAGACCATTGTTTTTGAGATCTCATCCTAATCACTGTTAATCGAGTTTTGATTCAAACTCTTGAAATTTCCGGTACCACAGAGAACTTACTGAACAACATGTGCTTACTCGTTCGAGTGTATGAAGGCATACTTTGATACACTTTTGTTATTTAAAATTCTGATTGAACAATAAGTTCAACATTTCAGAGAAGCGTTGAGTAAACACGGTTGAATCCGTTGTGTTAAGAACCTAACTGGGAGACTCACCAGATAAACAGCTTGCCATCAAACAAAGAGAAATATCAAAAATCGAGACACAAGAATTGTATAAAAATAAGATTTCAACAGGGTTTTAGAATGTTTCAAAACCATGGAGAATCCTTCAAGTATGCAAAAATTGGTTCAACAGTTCGGTATTCAGCAAAATCGAAAAGTCTTTAAAATTTTGGAAAATTCTAGATCTTTCAGGATTCCCATACTTGTCAACCGAGCTGACACCCATTGTCGGCCCGGGTGACACTGTCAATTGCTATTGCCTACGGGAAATACTTGAGAAATGTAAGGGGTATCTAATCTACCAAGTTTCCAATGATAATTGACAGTGACTCCCTTCAACTCGAAGCATACCACACACCTGTATGGACCACCTGGGAACGCCCCACAACATCTTATAAGGAATGTTGGTTCATTCCTTTTCAGTCACATTCCTCTCTCTCTCTCTCTCACTTTGCTGTTAATCGACAGTACTATTTTACATTTAGTGTTTACAGCTTTCTCACTTTTGTTGCATTTTTGCATATAAGAGAGATCAAATTTCAAAATTTTCACGTTTAAGAGAAAATAATCGAAAAAGAGAAATATTATGAGAATTTACACATTAAAAACAGCGATTACAAAAAAAGTTATTTTTAAATGGGAATTTTATTATTTTCCCCAGAAAATGTAGCGTGAACATTTATTTTCATTAGATCTGGGTTTTCATGAAAAAACCACAATTTTTTGATTTATTTGTTAACGTTTTTATTAAAATTAAAGAACAAAAACACAGAATCGTTCTGCAGAACACATCTGTGAGAGAAAAATATGTCGCAAAAGTTAAATCACAGAACCGTTCTGCGGAACGATTCTGTGAAGAACACAGTTTTGAATAGAAAAAAAAGAATTTCAATTTTTTCTGCGTGAGCACAGTATTTTTCAAAAAATTCGTTTTGAAACTCAAAACGTGAAAATTTTCAAATGTGATCCCTCTTATATAGGAAAGGGGGAATTTCAAAATTTTTTTTGATCGTCGATTTTTTTTCGTAAAAAGTTTGCTTTTGTGTGCTTTACCAAAAAATATATTAGAGACAATAAAAGTATTCTTATCTGTTTTTATTTTTCCAAATTCACTAAAAATATGGTTACAATAGTGATTAATTTATAAATGTTTACGTGAAAATTATTTATTTAGATCATCAATTATAAAAGAAAAAACACAAATTTATTGAAGAACACAGAAAGGAAGCCACTTCTTTTCTGTGCAGAAAAGAATAGACACGTAAAAAGACAGAAAAGAAGAACCATCCTTTCTGTGATTTTTCGGTGTGGGGAGAAATAGTTCAAATTATTCCTGACAAAAACGTGAACTTTAACTGCAGAGAGTTGAAGCTACTTTGGATGTGGACTTGAAACAAAAACTCGAGAAGGTGAATCTGAATGGTGAGTTTAAGGGATGGTGATTTTGAAGACTGGCGCGATGCAGTGTGAGTACTTGACACAAACCTGTTCAGAATTTCATTTTAGCTACTCGATTACTTTATAATCCCATAAATAAACAACTTCGAGAATTCACTTCCCAGAAACCGAATGTCGGTTTCCCAGAATTTCAAACAAAATTCGAGCAGTCGTAAATCGTAAAATGAAATTCTGAACAGGTTTGTGTCAAGTACTCACACTGCATGGCGCCAATCTTCAAAACCACCATCCCTTAAACTCACCATTCAGATTCACCTTCTCGAGTTTTTGTTTCAAGTCCACATCCAAAGTAGCTTCAACTCTCTGCACTTAAAGTTCACGTTTTTGTCAGGAATAATTTGAACTATTTCCCCCCACACCGAAAAATCACAGAAAGGAAGGTTCTTCTTTTCTGTCTTTTTACGTGTCTATTCTTTTCTGCACAGAAAAAAGCTTCCTTTCTGGCTTCCTTTCTGTGTTCTTCAATAAATTTGTGTTTTTTTCTCTTTTATAATTGATGATCTAAATAAATGAGAAATAAGTAAAAATCATGATGAATGTAGAACCATTGAGCTTTCAACATCTCTGCTATTTTTTATCGAAATTCAACATAGTCGACGCTTTGTATATTTTTAGTAGTGAGATCTGTCTAATTGTCACAGAACTGTTTGGATTTTCGAAAAAAAATCGACGATTTAAAAAATTTTGAAATTCCCCCTTTCCTATATGTGTGAATATTTCAGATGTCAAATTTAACAATTGCTACCCCAGGATCGACAATTACGAATACCTGTTCCGATGCTCCACTCACCTCCGATCGAATCGCAAAGTCAATGCGACATTGACGATGCTCAAAGATCTGCAGACTCCGCTAGCCCTGATCAGACTGTTTGATAGCAAGGAGCTCGTCAAACACTACAGCGACGACACGGAGCACAAGAAACTGGCCAACATGGTTCTTCTGAAGATTCGAGCTATGAAAATGGAAGAGAAGAGACAAGATGTAGGAAGACGTTCGAGCCGAAGACTTCTGACGGATTCAGAATTCCATGTATCCCGACGCATAGAATCCAGAAGAGAACCATTATCGCCAAGTAGAATGGCTTCTTGGATCTTTTCAATACTTCCTCGGTTTTTCCTCACAGTACCTTTATGAAAGATCTTTCGTAATAAATCTTATTTTTTTCAAAGCTCTTCATTCTTTGTTTTCCAATAATCGGAAAAAGGAAATTTTTGAGCTGCATACTTGCATTTATATCTTGCATTCTTCTCAGTGATTAATGTTGGCTTGGAGTTCTGGAACCTTATTTCTTTCTTGTTTAACAGTTTTTTTTCATTATTGCTCATTTTTCTGGGTCTCAAAAAAGTCAATCAGAAAGTCTTTATTAGCCTTCAGTAGTAACTAGATTTCTCGCAGTATTTTTTTTCGGGTGGCACGACTTGACTCGTGAATGAGCTATTCTGGGATTGTTTTCCCGATATGTGTTCTGGTCGGCATTTCCAATTGACGCGTTTTCCAATTTGGATATCATTAAAACAAGTCAGTCAAATGCTCGTGTTCCTATATGATCTCAATAGTCCATTACCCGCACCACTATTCTCTGTTTTTGGTCTCCAACAACCAAATATCTCGTTTTAAAAACCAATCAGCAACACGAGAAACAAGATTACATATTTCCTGGTTTCTCTGGATTCCGTATCTTTCTTTCTTTTATCGCACCACTCTAACACTTTCTTCTTCAACTTTCCGGAGACCTCAGAAAATGGCCGAGGCTAACTTAACAAGGTGTGAATTAGCCTTCCAGATATCATATAATCCAATCTATCGAATTGGTCAGTTTTGGTCATTTTTTGCCTCTTTTCTTGCAATGCCTTCTCTACTTTACTTTATATTCAAACGGGTTGTAACTCTTCCGTTCCATGGAAACCTCAAGTTCTTGCTCATCTCTTATTTTGGGGGAACCTTCTGCTTTGCAACAATCACATGTGTCAATTTTGTAAGTTTTACCGTGCCGCGTCCAATGTTCTCAAATCTAAGAAAGCTCAGAAACCAGTCCAAAGTAACGCCCAGATCTCCAAGATTTTCCATTCGCACAGTTGAAACCAGAGAGACCGTACAGGCCTAACGCGTCGAGACCTGCAAAACAATTTCAGCAGCTTTTTGAAATAACAGTATTTTACAAAAATAGCATTGTATAGTGGTGTGAATTTATGCGGGTCTCGACGGACTGCTCTCTAATAGTAAGCCCAGAAATCTCTGACTTGGGAACTTTGGATGCGACATTCATCGATGTCGTGGGAGAGTGTTTTGCTTTCAGGGATATCACTTCTTTCTCCCATTTTTTGTTTCCTCTAAATGCAGTTTGATAATTCCAAGAGTCCTCTTCGAACATGGTCATTTAACATCACTTGTCTGTATGACGATCCCAATGATCCTTCCTGTTGGATTCACAATCGAACGATTTGTTGCATTGATTATGGCTCGTAGCTATGAAAACGTGAGAACATTTCTAGGTCCTCTTCTAGTTCTCGTTTTGGTAAGTGCTCAAATTTCAAGAATTTTAGAATTTGTCAAGTTTCAGACTGTGATCGATTGTTCCATATTATATGCAATATACCATGACGATCCGTTTACCGACAACTTTATCAATTTCATTCTTATACCATCAAATTCTGCTCAGAAGTTTAACATGTTTTTCTGGGCGTTGGTGGTTATTAAAGTTACGAATTTCTTATGTAATTCAATTTTACTGTTCATTCACAAAAGAATGGAAAAAATGTAAGTGATGCGGTTTAAAAATCACAATTCAAAAACCAATATTTCCAGAACCATAAAACATAGTTCCACATTATCAACAAAGTATAATATGGAAGAGATTTCACAGTCATCCAGGTTCACTCTAACCGTCACCTTCGCACATTTATTATTTTTTGGATGGTATGTGGGCTCTATTCTGTTTATCCGGACTGTTGGACCAGATTTCTTTGGTGGAACAGTCAATTATAGCATAATGAGAGGTGTTTATTGTGCAACTCCCACTTATAATTTGGTGATTGTATTCATTGGAATCAAAGCGATTCGTCGTCTGAATGTTCAAAGAAAAAACAGAATATCGTCTACAGTTCAAGTGAAATCAACTGGTGATGAAGGAGCGAAAAATTATGACAATGCAATTTCCAACTACTGGGATACTGTATATACTGAAAAGAAAAATGTTAAATACTAATAATAAATAATGAACTTTTTTGTCCGTTTTCTGACGCATTTCGTTTTGGATATTGAATTGCATCAATTTTCAAATGACAAAGAAGACGTCGTTGTAATTTTAGAAGATGTGAAATCCGAATCAAGCTCAAATATTGCCTTCCTCTTCTTTACGCCTCCTTTCTTCTTCCTGTCATTTTCGTTTTTTTTTTCATTTGCGTTTTTTGAAAAGCAGGGTGTAAAAAAAGGGAGAATATGTTTAGAAGAAGTAGTAGACAAAGTGTATTCTGTATGCATTTCATGTTTTCTTCTCACGTGTCTTCTCACACAAAAAGTACTTGAGAGAACACTTGAAATCGAAATCCTGAAAATGAGAAAGAACTTTTTTGTTCTGCACGGTTCAAATGTCTGAATGTCTGTCTATAATCTCTTTGATTTCTCTCTATTTTTGCGCTCATTTCCTTTGATTTCCGGAGGCTTTTCCCACGTATTCCGTTTGCATGGGATTGTCATTTGACCATAGTGAAAATAATCTAAAACGTCAAGGTTCAGAAGCATTTGTAGTTGTTTTGTTGATGATGTTTCAATTTTAGAATTACCCCTTTGTTTGAAAGATTCCAGGTCCACTTTTGACACCGCTTCTGAGCTTCCTATAAAACTGCAAGTTTTAATCTTCCTTATACTGGTACAAAACATCGGATCCCAGGAAGTGAACTGCCGGTGGCCGAGATCGAGGGTCTTACAACGAAAACTATTGTAACCCTAAAATAACTTGATTTTCCGGATTTATTTTCGTCGATTTTTCTGTCATTTTCCACGGCCACCGGCGTTTCTCTTTCACAAATCCGATTTTTCTTCGCCAACATAATATAAAATAGGCATTTTGAATCCGACTGGTGCATGTTTCTTTTTTATACCAAGGATGTTTTTAACCAAACTCGGACGAACGCTAATTTTGGCAATAACTATCGTCCTGTCCTATTAATCTCTTTCTTAAGATGCAATTTGCAAAATCCATGAACAAACTGCTCAATTAGAGAAACCAGATTGCTTCAGAATTTCCGAAAAACGATGACGTTCAAAGACTGCAAGCATCCTAAGAGTTTATAAATGCCAAAACCGCCGAAATAGGGCCAATAAATGATGCTCATTGAGTTGATAATTGAGCTAATAAGCTGCAATTTCAATCGTTTGAAGTGCTCTGCATTGTCAAAACGATAAATCAACTCATCGTTTTTTATTCTGGAAACGGGAGACATTTTTGAATTGACAATACTTGTCTTCAATTCCTTTGTATCTTAAATCAGTTCTGAAATTTGTTGATTCATCAAAAAAGGAGCTACAAAACCTTCTATAAGCCGGAAATTGATTTCCCAACCTTTCCCTGCTCGTTTGTAATTCAAAAATCTGGGCTTATCCTAACTTTTTACAACTCTTTCACTATTGGCAAACAACACTGGGGTATAATAAAATCAACGAGAATTTCGAATTAAGCTATCCTAGCTAGTGGCGCCATCCGGCTATAACGCTGTTCAAATAAATCCTGCTGGAAAAAATGGCCAAGAAAAACAACAATTCTAAATATGGCAGTGACATTTTTTATTTCACACCTCTCCCTCTTTCCCATTATTTCCCACAATTCTGGAATCCTTCTAGATGAATGAACCTTTATCCTCTAAAAATTAATGGAAAATATGCAAAATGCGTCATTTTAAAAATAAGGGCAAATAAATGAGAGATGACCGCATTTTGCACATTTGCTTCTCTCTTTTTTTGCTCATTCTAATTTATTTTTTGACCACAAAACACAATGAAACTGAATGAATGACCCATTCAACCATTCAACCGAATGAGATAAAAAAGAAAAATATCATGTGATAGTGGACAGAAAAATCACAAAAATTTATCATCCTACACTTTCTTCTTCTTCTTCTTCTCATTTTTCTCATTTTCTATCTTTGCTTTTGCTCAGAAATACTGTTTATTTAGGATCATCACTAAACACCCTCATTCCTTACGAATTGTGTATTTCTCTTTCTGTCTCTGTTGTTTGAAATCACTGATGATCAATTAGTGAAGAACAAGAAAGAAATATGGATCGAGAGTTATTTGAAATCTGCCAAGAGGTTTGTTTTTTTAATGAAGTATTTATGGGTTCGATTACAGTTTTAGGATCTAATGTCCTGTTATTTGTAGAGATCAAAAAGCCAAAAACCAAGAAAATATCAGACAATTTGTTCACAACTCAAACATACCAACCGTAATAGATGCATTAGAAGGGTCCCCTTAATAGAAAGGCCCCTCTAATAGAAAGGCCTTCCATGAGGGACCTGGAAAAATAGAAGATCTCATATAATGAAAAACCCCATAAAAATTGTATTTTTTTTATTACAATTTTCGGTACGTTTTCTGTGAAAAATATTTCAAAAATTGCTCAATTTCTAGAGAATTTGCTGAAGCATTCTCTTTTGATAAAAAACTTTCTAAATTTTGGTAAAATTGATAGCTTTCATGAAATTTGAACGAGAATCCAACGATTTTTAAATGAACATTTTTGGAAAAATGGCCCGAAAAATAGAAGGGCTCCCTCTAATTGAAGGGCCCCTGTAATAGCAGGCTCCTCCGGAGGCATCTTGGAGCAAAATAAGGGCCCTTCTAATACAGGTTTTACGTTATTTTCACATTTTTATACTAATACCTTGTAACTTTACAGAACAGTTCCACCGCGTTCTCAGTTGGATATCAGCTAGTCTACCTGATTTATGTTGTCTTATCAGTCACTTCTGTCTTTACATGCTCATATTTTATCAAAACTTTCATATGGAAGTCCACATTTCATCCGAATTTCAAAGTGAGTTTATCCAATCATCATTCATACCAGAAAAAATCGGGGCCCAGCTCGCGGGCCCGGCCGGATCCGACCGGAGATTGTCAGGATCCGGTCCAAACCGGTAGGCTGGACCCAGTTCTTGAAAGTTTTGGAAAAAGGTCGGCCTGGCCCTGTTCGGCCCGTTTCAAGTATTCTTTTATTCTCTCTGTAATTCTAATTGCTCAGCTTCTTCTCACAATGTATTTCTCTGCTGCAATATTCCACTCCATCCTATTCACAGCTTCATATTTAATGATGATTGAACGATTTTTGGATTATCAAACCGAATGTGATATTCACGTATCAGTAGTTCCATACATGATTGTACACAGCTCTATTGCAATCTGCCTATTTTGCGGAATGTTGACACAGGTTGGTCCGATTGGACTTGTTTTTCAGTTTCTTTGATTTTACGATTTTGTAAAAATGTTCAAAATATTGGAATAATTTAGTTTTCCGCTCAAATGCATTAGTGATGACATTTATTGAAGAATATTTTTTCAGGTGTTCATGGTAATCGAAAGACTTTTTGCAACAATTAAAATAGAGAGCTACGAGCACAACACTTCCTTCAAGCACATTCTTGCTTATTTATTTTTTGTGAGTTCAGATTCTAGAATTATTTTGAGGGAAGGAAAATGATTTCAGTGCATAGTCCTACCAGTTTCTCTTCTGGTTTGGGCTTATCAAGATGCGGATTATAAATCACCAGTTATCACTGCAATCAGCCCTCCAAAAGGTGTTGAGTTTCGAGTGAGTTTGACGATCTTTTCATTTTTTTTTAAATTGGATTTTTTTCAGCTAAACATACTCTACATTTTCTGCTTCCTTCTTGCAATCCTTGCTCTTATTCTGCTTCAAGTCGTTCGATACGTCAACAAAAGGAGAGAAAGCAGGTTTGATTAAATTGGAGTTCTCAGTAAATTAAATAGAGTTTCAGAATTGAGATCAGCTTATCCGGACGATTCCAAATTGTGGAGAATATTGATACGACTACATTTATTTCTTCCATTTTAATCATCAACATGATCATTTCCGTGATTTACATCGTGGGAATTTTCTCACTCAGAAATTTTGAATTCGATGTTTTCATCAACAATCGAGCAGGATTATCTACGGTGAAACTTGTGTTTTATGTGAGTTTTGACCCCGATTTACAAAAAAACGAATTAATATTTTCAGCTTCATCCCTTGTTCTCTTTTCTGATGCCACTGATATCCAGTTATCACTTATCTAAAATGCGTGAACGTCGTCTGAAAAGGAGAGATCATCTATTGGCAATAAAAACAAAAGGAAGAGAGGGATCTGATGCTTACAATCAGTTGCTACATGATCAATGGCAACAACACTTTCTCAAGTGATTTTGAGTTCTCGTCAAGTCTTGAGTTAATTGTTATGTTTACTAATAAATGTTGCTAATATTTCTTCTTTTTTTGTTTAGTGTGCCTACCTATGGGATTCCAGTAGTTCCATGAGATTGTAGTGATCCCATGGAATTTCAATGGTCCAATGAGATTTTACTTAACGCGGAAGAACGTGTGGGTGTTTCGGATGATGGAGAGGGGGGCATCAAAAGTAATGTAAGTTGCAATGCGTTCAATGAGTTTAGGAAGTAACCCCCGGGCTCAATTTTTGGGTGTCCCGCCATTTTTGGTTCGTGAGTACTATCGAAAAGTCACTTTTTCAGCTGTCAAATAACCTTAGAGCCCCTTTGGAATTTTCGAAATGCTTGGTAATTTTTTATTTTCAAGCTGAAAATAGTTTCAGTTTCAAGCTTTTCTCGTACGTTTTCAAAGGTATTCCCAAAGAATTTTCATATTTTGCCAACTATCCAAATCGTTCTCCCCTTTTTTGTATTTTTGTAAAATGATCAAAGATGTAAAATATTCCAATATTTTGAAAAAAAAACAAGGGCATCACAGATACATAACTTTCATGGGATCATTCAAATCCTATAGAACGGCTGAAATCTCATGGGACCACTAAACTCAAATAGAGCCTTTTTCTTTCACACATTTTACATTTTCATTAATTGCTCTATATAGTGCTTATTATAAGAAATCATGTTTCCGGTTACAACTTTGAAAATGGAGGCTGTGGTTTTTTGGAGAAGGATGCCATACTCGCTTTGATGAGGTCATCAGTGAACAGTTGCGACATGTTCCACGTGGCCTGAAAAACAGTACATTGAAATTCCAAAAAAGATTCTAAACCCAACCACATAATTCAAACTGTTCTCAATCGAATGATCTCTTGCGTAATTTAAAACATTCTTCGTCCCCTGTACTCCAACCGGACTTTTCGAAGCAATCAGTTTTGCCATCTTCGTCACATCATTTATCATTTCTTCGCGGGTGTCAAAGACACGACTGAGAAGACCTAAATGAAAGATTTGAAAATGGATAGAAACACAGAAAAAAAGGTATTATACCGAATTGAAGTGCTTCTCCTGCTGAGAAATGGCGGGCAGTCATACAAACATCCTTGATCCAACTGTGATTGCCTACCACTTTGGGTAGTCGGTTCAATGTTCCAACATCGGCTGCCATTCCGATATCAACCTCTTTCACAGAGAGTACGGCGTCTTTCGTGGCAACTCGAACGTCACAAGCAGTCGCAATGTCAATGGCAGCACCCAGACAGTATCCATGCATTGCTAGGATAACTGGTTTGGAGCACTCATCGATATAAGTGAACTGTTTTTGCATAAACTTGATGGTTCTATGAATATTTCGACCTTTTCTTGCAGAATCATCGGTGTCGTTGTCTCCGTTCAAAAACGATACACCTGAAAACTCTAGAATCCAAATATGAAGAAAATGAAACAAAAACTGAACCTCCCAAATCAAGACCGGAGCAGAAGTGTTTTCCCTCCCCTTGTAAAATGACAACTCGACAATCCGGGTCTTCATCAATTAGCTGGAAGCAATCTCCGATTTCTCTGAAAATGTATTGTTCAATAATAAAGACATTTTATGTCACAAACTTCCAAATTTCCATATTCAGCGCATTGAATTTATTTGGGCGGTTCAGAGATACTTTGTACACGAAATCCCCAACATTTTCTACTTTGACCAATTTTAAAGAATCGTATTGTTTCTGCATTTTTTTCCGTAAATGGGTGAGTGAGGGGTGAAGATCTGAAAAGAGATAATCTTGTGAACAGTGAGAAAAAGGGAAAATCGAACAGAGTCTAGTGCAACGTAGGGAGACTTTGGATTTATATACTAAAAACCGGTCAATAAGATACCGTAAAACCTCTAATAGAACGACACCCGGATCGTCCACTTTGAGCCTATATATCTCACTTCTTTTGAAAGATATC